AGAAAGTAAAAGAAAAAAAAAATCCTCGAAGGACTACATAAATGCTTCTGCTTCGCATCGCATTAAAAACTCGCGACGGACTACATAAGTGCTTCTGCTTTGCATCGCATTAAAAAAACTAATTATCTTTATGATTCATTATCCAGTATTAGATACGAGCGAATAACCTAGTGGCTAACATTTGTTGATGACATCATTTTAATTATACCGAATTTTTAAAACGACAAATTTCTTTCATTTTCATCATATTGGAATCGCATTTGTGAGTAAATGAAACTTTAGATTCAACATTCGAAAAAAGATGTAAGAAGGTCAATTTGAATATTTCCATCTCACGTTTTAACGACATTTCTATGAATTTCCGTTCTCGAGATCATCGCGACACAAAATGACGAAAAAGATGCGTACGTCGAGAAATTAAAAAAAAAAGAAAAAAACTCGCGACGCACTACATGAATGCTGTGCTTCGCACCGCATTAAAAACTCGCGTCGGACTACATAAATGCTTCTGCTTCGCATCGCATTAAAAATATTTTTACTGATCGAAAATAAAGGAATTCACATTTTACTAGTTTATTTCTGGAAGAAAAGTTTTATTAAGGAAAGTATTGCACGAACGCAAAGTAGACTAAAACGCATGGGTATCAAAATCCATTTAGCATCTCACAAGTTCTAAGTCCGAACGTGAGTTTTTAGTAAGAACAATATTTTGACTATTGATTACCGCCAGACAGCTGGCTTGTTTTCCCAGATTAATTGTCTGTTTCGTTCCGTTGGGTGCGATGATATAAAATCTTTGTTGCCCCACAGCAACATAAAACCGATCATTACCGTCAGTTCGAATCATGCTTACAGTTTCGCTCGATTCGAGACGAACTCGCTTCATTCTTTTCATATTAAAATCATAGAATTCAATGTGTGAGATATATCGATTATTGTTTACACGGCGAATCAAAATAAACGCAACCAGATTATCAGTTAAACAGAAACTAGGACTTGTTAATGATTGTGGCATCTTAAAATTGATTGATTTTACTAATTGAAAGTTTATATCATAGACGTCGATTTTGTCTTTTGCATGAATCCATAGATGATCAGTGTTAGCTGCTACACATGCTCGTACACGGAGATTACTTATAACACTAAAAATTTTAAATCTTTGATCTAAATACTCAACCGAATAAATTCCATTTTTTGTTGCGCAAATAAATTTCTTGATATTATTCCACCATACTATATCGACAATTGGTGGTTGATGCCAGACTTGACTTGGGTCAATCTCTCCATAGTTACTATTTGTATCATCTAAGTAGCAATATGCAATATGATCGCGTTTTGGATCTTCAATGGTAGAATACAATATATTGAGCCCATCACTTGCCATACAATTGACACTGAACGATGTCGATTCAAATCTATCTCGATTACGAAAATAACTTTCATCGGGACAAGAAAAATGGATGTTTTTATTCTCATAAATTTCATCATCTGAGATCGAGTTTTCTAACTGAAGATCTTCGTCAATGTTTGCTTGCTCCTCAATATGATTTTTTTCTTGAGAAATGTTCGCTGCCCGTTCAGTATTATTTGTTCTCGATTTCGACAATAAATCAAATCTCAATTCGTATTTTGGCATCTTCGATGGTAAATCGCATTCTTTTGCCTATGATAATGAATCTAATCTTTGAATAAGTTCATCGAGTTTTTCAAAGATTTTTGTCAAATTCTCTGATCGAAAAGTGTTGTTCTTTGTAAAAGTTTGAATATCATCTTGGAAAGTTTGCATTTCTGATTCTATTTCATAAACAAATTTCTAAAAAAACAAAATAGAATTAAATAACAATTGATAACAATTTTGTATCGTATTACCTTTGCTTTTTGTTCTTCTTTCTCAATATTCAAATCAATGCTTTCTTTTTCCACAGTAAGACTATCAATCAATGTTGTATACCATTCACTTAATTCGCGTTTTGATGCAACAGTTTCCTTTGTAATTAATATTATTTTTGTATCTATTAATTGTTTAAGCTCATTATATCGATTTGAAACTTGTGCGATACTTAGTTGCAATTCATCATGATGATCTTTCATACAATCAAAACAAAGCGATCTAGAACAATGCTTGCATTGACATAAAGATGGTCGAATTCGTTCATGTTTACTGGAACATATTATACAAGAATCCGATAAATCGTTCGATGTGGGTGCTGTACTCATAGTATACTTGATAACTATTTTAAAACTCAATGTTTACTAAAAATTTTATCCTTAAGACAAGCATAAAGAGAAAGGTTAATGTAAATATATCCTGCTATCTATGAAGATCATATAACAGGGAGAAAGAATCTTTTCTTTTTATAGGATTGTTTATTTTGTAAAAGATTTTTGTCTATGAAATATTCTGATTATTAACATGTAGATTGCATTTTTCTCATGATATAGTCAGTTTTAATATGAAATAAAACGAAAAACGATACTCGACATTCAATAGAAAACATTCATAATAAAAAAAAAGTGTCAAATTCATTACAACTTTTTTTCGAAATATTTAGTAGAACCGCAAGATATTATGAAAAAGATCTTAACACGAAGCTTCCACGCAAAAATATCTCCGATAACAGATCTCATTATACTCCCTGTATTATCTAGACTTCGCATTAAACGAAGAAGTTTTTCGTAACACATAGGATGCTCAATAAGTAGGATAGTTTGGAAATCTATTCTTGAGAGATCCAAGCTTTTTTTTACCAGTATGTTATTTCCGAAGAGAATGATTGGTTTGATTGGAAACCTTAGTACTGATATCATTTTAATGGGTTCCGTTATTTATATTATAAATAAAATTTATTCCGTTTCAATAGATCGACTTTCAATTGTGTAACTTAACTTCTCGTAATTCAAATCATTTTTAACTAAAAATATGCGCTTCTGGCTGAAGTACTGTATAACGAACTCGTAAGGAAACAGCAAATATATTTTTGAACAGCTCGTTCAATTCGATTTTCACTAACAATAAGAAAAATGACATGGAAAATGTAAATCATGTTGTTTTAATGTTATTCTATCAAAACAACATACGGTAACTTCCTACTCGAACTGAATAATAGTATAGAATCATTAATCTTTTGATCTCAAAATTTAATTCGACAATCAAACAAAAACGTTGAAACCGTTTTATTTTCCTTGATCATACTACGTATTGTAAAACGAGACTTAATTCAAATGAAATAGATATCGTACTTGGAGAAAAAGCAAACTTGAATGCAAAATAAAAAGATTTAATTGAAAAAGAGCCGTTTTAGGCCTTTTAAGTACAATGTTACAGCAAGATTTATTCACTTTTATCCAAAAAAAAAGCCACTTGTCATTGAAATAGTTATTAATACTGGCGAGAAGGATTCATATAAATTAATTGACAAAAACATCAATTGCTTTTTCAATTTCATTTTTTTCGAAAAGCTAAAATAAAATGGCCAGCAAGAGCTTCTTGATCTTTTGTATCGTCGCTATTACTTTGGCATGTTTCATCGAAACCAGTAAGAATTCATAATAATTTAAATACAATTTTGCATCATTGAAAATTATTGTGTAGCTTTGGGTGCGTCTGGCTGGTGTTACCAATGTGATTCTCGGGATCCTGGTTGTCAAATTGATTTAAATGTATTGAATTCGGCACATTTACGAATCCCATGCAATGGACAATGATACATTCGTGTTAAAGCAGGCAGTAGGTTACCGCAAAAGTTGTTTTTCATTAGTTTCTTTCTATTCAATACGATCTTATAGTTATGTCTCGTGGTTGTTCTTGGGAATATGGATTTATGACCAGACAAATCCCATATACTCCAATTTATGAACAAGAATCAATATGGATTTTTTGTGATACTACTTTGTAAGTATTTTATAATAGCTATTCATGTACTCTGTATAATATGTTTTCTCTTAGATGTAATGCACATGCAAACGGATCTGCATAAATATTATTACGACTTGCGATTGTGAAAAACCGTGATTTATTTTTAAATTTAGTTACGAAAAGAATTTTGAGAAAAAATAAACAGAATAGAGATTTGGCTTCTAAAATGTCTTGGCAAGATTTAGTTTTAAAGATTGATCGGTTATGAAGCTTTACAAATGAGAGAATTCTCATCGTACGGCGCGTACTCTTGTAGAATTCTTTTACAAAAAAAATACCCGGATCGAAGATACATTCTTCGTGGAACTTTAAAAGCATTTCTTCTTCATCATTCAGTCGATTTCTTGATGTTTGCCACATTTCAGAGTAATGCATGTACTAATTACTTCAGAATGAAATAGTAGCTTCAAACAGATATTTTGAAATTTAACCTAGCTTTTCAATCTTAATATTTTTCTTTGTTTTAAGTGCATTATTAGTCTTACCATTGTGTGGCAAATAAATACCACATTTGAAAATAGTAATTTCGTTAGCATTGCGATTGCTGTTCCAACAAGGCGTGCACCTGATACCATCTGACAATCAAATAGGGTGACATGACACATAAGCAGAAAGCTCAATGAAACAAATCACGTCTTCGAAAATAATATTGTTGATTCAATATTGCTAACTGCCGGATTAAACTTTTACTATCATCAAGTAGTGAAACGATTTTTTCCCTTGTGTTATCCCTATAAATTGTTCAGTCTTCTGAAACACGAGTTCAGGACAGAATAGAAATGCCAGTTGATAAGGAATATAAAATACTATTGCTTTTATTTTGTTCAATGAATCAAACTCACTATTGAACACAACAACGATGAACTTCAACAAATGTATTTTTTTCTCAAGTACGTCCTTCTATCAATATACCGTCAATCATTCTACTTTTCACATAAAAATCCCTCGGGGGCTATGTTCATTACTTTCTTTGTCTCTTGTATTTATCAAAATAAATCAAAGAATTCAATCTATTCAAGTCAATAAAATGTTTTTAATTTCCATTCAGTATGTTTTCACTCGCAAAATATTCCAAGGACATCTGTAAGTGTTGAAGTAAGATATATATTTGTATAAATGACTATAATAAATGCTAGAAGCATTAAACACTTAACAATAGGCATCTTATCATTGTTCTCCTAAGAATCATTCATAAATATATATTTATATACTTCATATAGAAAAAACAACAACAGTGTTTTATGTTAAAAGTTGTACTTTTTATCTTATTTTGAAAAAAAAAAGAAAATGAAAAGACAAACACAAATAAATTAATATCTCATAAAAGAAACGAAATCAGCAGAACAACATACGCACATTTTCTTTTTTTTGTTTTTGTTGCTTTTATCGATAGAATGAATGACTGTTACATAAATGACATTTACACGCGTAAAACCTATCTTTAATGCCTTCATACGCAAATATATATATATAGATATATGTACATACAAAAGAACTCTATCTGACTCCATAGTTCATAAAAATTCAATTTAGCGTTTGTTTTTCTTAAAATCGATTATCTTGTTTGTTTGCTCGCGTTGCTGATTTTCGTTTAACTGCTTTAGCTGTGACACGTTGTGGCGTTTGTTTATTGAATTTTTTCAAATATTTTCCACAAGCCGAATCAAATGAAATCGCAAATTGATTTGCATTATTATATTCAAATTTTTGCCGAATAAATAATCCAAATATTTGTGTGCGTGTAAACCATTCTAAAAATAATTCAATTGTATGTTGCTTCGATTGAAGAAATTCTTCACGTTGAAATGTTTCATTAAAATAATCTTTATAATTATAGCATGATTGTACAAATATAGACATAAAAACGTCGTGTAAACGTTGTTGACATTCGTCTAATGATAAACTCAATCGAGTTTTACGTAAGAGCGAGATTTCTTGTTTCAATTCAATTTTAAATATTTTTGGTAAAATTTGAAAACGTGGATTGTTTTCTTGATTCGACGTAGGAAAATGATGTAAATTGTCTGTTGAACTACGATGAGAATTATTCATTATATAATCATCGATTGAACGTATACGATCATGATCAATATCAACTATGAGTATATCAGAATTGTCTTGAGATAAAAAATCATCGTTGCCCGAAAGATACGATTCACATGAACGTAAGATTCCAATAATATAAGGTGTTGGAGCTTGTACGATATCGAGCATTAATGCAGGTAGAATTGGAACAAATGTATGTGGCCAAGAAAATGGATATAGTAAACAAACAAATGTATTAATCAAACGTGTTAATGAACCGATTTCATTGCCAATAAAGATTAATTTTTGTTCGTAGAGAATTGAAGAAAATATTTTTATGATGGTTTCTAAATAGCAAATAAAATTATCAGCAATGCGTATAAACTCCAAATTGATCATTCTGAGCATAAGAAACAGTGCATTACTGAATTGACTTTCTCTAAATTTTTTCGTTATCGGACTTTTTTATTTCTTCGAATTACAAACGAAAAACTACTTTGTCTCGTACTAATAAGTCTAAACAGAGGAGTTCTGCAATATAATCTATCGAGAGTAAAACTTTATCTTTAGATATTTCTTCCGGAGCTATTTTCTATGAAAACCAATAATTAATAACGTACCTGTTGATAGACTAAGTAAAGTAATCGAATCAATCAATACTTTTCGTCTATCATATTCACATTTTAATGTATACAATCCAACTGTCGATGTCGTAATATGTATTGTATCACCTCGATTTGGTAATCGATGATGATAAATTTCTTCTAGAAATGTCTTTGCTTCATTCTCTTTATACGAAAGAAATAATTCGGTAGCCGTTGAAAGAATTTTTTCATAAATTTCGATCATGTCAAACGGTGAAACAATACATAATGCATTGAGTATACGCTTATGAAAGAATCGTGAACAATAACCATATTGACGCACGCCATGCATATTCGTCAATGTAAAACGAAAATATTCTTGTGCGGATTTTTTCGCCAATGACAATGGATTATTATTGGAATCGAGTTGATCGGGAAAACAAAAATATTTTAATGTTGCTTCATCTTGTGCATCTGGTGGATACTTGAAATGTATTGGTGCTGTTGTTGACAAATGTTGATTAAAATTTGATGATAATATGCAACCGTTTCCGTTTGAAAAATATCCAATTTCTTGTTCAGGCAAAATATGAACAACATAATCGTATAAAGTTGTTATTTCATTTGTTAATAAACTAAGACTTGGATCCGTAAGTAAACTTGACATATTGTTTGATGTACTTAATGATTCGCAAATATTTTGCACATGAGTAACATGATCAAGTCTTGATGTACGAATATTATCATTATTTTCTGATGTTGTACTACCTGTATCATCGCTATCGTTTTGTGGTGAAATCCTATCATTGTGATTTGTTGGTTTTTCGTTTAATGATTGTTTTGATAATGATATTGGTAGCATACGTTTAAAACGATCAAGAAGAGCACGTGGTGAAAATGGAGATCGATTTCGAGATGTCTTAGTAAGATTTGGTTCACTAATGCCTTTTTTCATCGAAGATTTTTTGCTTGTTTTTTGTTTGGATAATGGTGCATTAAATGAAGGAGTGTTTGTATGCATTGTATTTAGTTCGTTCTGTGAACTATTATAGAGAAATGCTTCTCTATCGTTGTTGCTTAACATTGGTGATACTGAAGATTTTGATGGTTCGTTGGAGAGAGACGGTTTTTCTGATCGACGCGATATACGAGTTTGTTCTTGTTTTAATGGTAAATGATCATTCAGCAGTAAAGTATTTGTAACACTCGCTGTTAAATCCATACAACTAACTGAACGTGCACCTTAAAATAGTTTAACCACGTGAAAATATGTGTTTGGTTATATGCATATTTTAATGTGTCATGTACGTATAGCCGTACAAAAGAAAGTATTTTCTATGGTAAGAGTGAAAACTATGCGAAGAATTTTTCGTTGATTCAAAAGTCAAGTAGGATTAATAGAAAAGACGAGATGTTTATATCTTCACATTGATAAAAAATCTTACTTTTGACTAATGGAAAATTCGTTGAATTTAGAGATCGGTATGATTATCATACGACCATCTTTGATATGCGAATTCGAATGTTCTATTCAGTTGAACTAGCAGTTGCTATTGTAACACGAGTGGTCCAAGATAGTTCAAGGATTCAGTTCGAGATGCTTTTCATTCGGTAGGTTATAGAATGAACACGTTCTTGTTGCGTGTTGTTAGGAAATAAATCCTTGAGTTTAAAAGATTTTGTGAAATGAGATTTTATTTTTATTACTTAGTCGAAATTGACTGATAAAGTCGGATTTATTTGGTTTAAGCTCGGTCAATACAGATATCTTATAATTCTACTACTCAAGAAAAACAGAAAAGAGTGCTTTTAAAATCGTACAAAAATGTTATTCTGATGTTTTGAACTAAAAAAATGTGTACTGTTTTCTTACCGAAATCTAATATTGGTGAATTTTCATTTGATGATGATGATGACAATGCTTTTGAACCTTTTAGTTTTCCTAGAGTATTTCGTTTCTTTTCCTGTTCGAATGTTCTTGGCGGTTTTTTTGGTGGTAATGTACATAATACTGGACTTTCTACTTGAATTACCGGGTTTTCTTTTTGTTCATTAATTGGTTTATGTTCTGAATTTGCACTACACGTATTAACATCTGTTTGTTGTTCTTGTTCGTTGTTGAGATTCGCAACTTGAAAACCCATTGAACTAGTCGATGTTAGTGGATATCTTCTATTTGGATTTGATTTATTAACAAATTCAATACGTTCAGCGTAAATATTATTCCATCGACGAATTTTTTTATCGGCTTTCTTATCCGTATGATCAGAAAATGATGTTGTTTGAACTGTAAAGGATAAATTATTCGGTTTGTTTGATGCTATAACGGGTTCGTGAGTCGATGTTGTTGATGAAGGAGAAGTTGTTAATGCTGAATTACGTACAATGACATGACGAATAATATTGACAGGACGATGATCAGTTGTTGGTTGACTCAATTTAATTTCTGTACGACTAACCATTGGCGATGATTCATTGAAGCTTTCAAATGCATCATCATTATGAGGTGAAATTGAGAATGAAGGATTTATTGTGTTTGATTCATATGGAATCTAAAAATTGTAATCAAATATTAAGTGACAGTTGCTAATAGTAGCTTACCCAAGGTTTAGATAATTGTTGTTCTTGTTCTTGTTTATGCCTTGATAGTGATGATGGAGATGAGGACGAAGAAGACGAACATGTTGAATGCATTATACAATCATTACTATTATTTGTTGCTATAGAATTACGTTTTGATTTAATTGATGGGGAAGAATTTGAATCGTAACCGGTTGATGAGAGCGATGTTGACGAATGAACACGTCTTGATGCTTTTAGTGAACCATAGGTTTCATTTGATATTGTTGGTTGGTTATCGTGCAATAAATTCGTCTGTGTAGATGTTGTCATAATCACAGGTTCAGTATGAATATCTAATGTATTTTGTAAATTGGATACATAGTGTCGGCTACTACCTGTACGACTTAAAGAACTTGATGTTAATGAATCGTAACTATCTGCATAATTCATAAGTGCTGACATAGCGAATGGGCGATTTTTATTAATTAGAGATGTTGTAGAAGAATGTTCACCTGATTTAGACAATGGATTTTGTTGCAAAAGTAATGAAGTACTATGTTTGGGCGTTTCTAAAATAAAAAATAATAAAATATACATGACTATTGTTTTGACTATATAACAGAAATGGCAAATAAAACTACGATTGGAATTGGATATCATGCTGATAATATAATAAATGACGATTTTCTAGTGACTAATAGGTATGCTGATACTTTCCGCCCACGAATTCAACGTCATAGCCTTTGCAGTATTTCTTTTCTTCGCTCGTTGTTTTTTTTTATTACTATCTCGAAATATTTCAATGTTTATTCTTCAAGATATTTTCTTTCTTCACTGAAGATAATAAATCTTACTGCTTAAATTTCGTGCAATAAAAAAAAAGATGGACGCTAGAAAAAAGTGACGACCTTGACATTTTCGTCTCTGCTTTTTTTCTTTTTTATTCCCTGATGATATATGAAAACGAGATAAAGCAGATCTTTTTTTTGACATTCATGCATGTGAATACATTAATAATAATAAAATGTATTTTTCTTTACGCTTTCTGTTTTTGTTTGCTAAAAAAAGCAAAGATATGTTTTACCTTTATTTGAGTGGTTCTCATGAGGTAAACAAATTTGTTGTTTAAATAATTGTTCATCGTCTTTCAGAGGACAGATCGTTTTATGTTGAAGATACTCATGTGTGAGTTTTAAACGAAATGATTGATATTCTGAAGTATAATCACGATAGCGTTCTTCGAGTGGTTTTTCATGATCACGTTTTGTTGTCGTATGTTTTAACTTTTCATCGTCAGTAACAGGTAATCGAAGTAAACCATTGCATGGAACAGATTTGTGATGTCGTTCATAGATAGTTGATAATTTTTTCGTTGGATATGTTTGTTTTTCGAACATTTGTCTGATCTGTTGAAAATGTCCTTTCGGTAAACTACGTACACTTTCACGTATACGTGAGCCCGATCGTACAATACTTTCATCGAATTCCAGTTGCGGTTTCATCGATAAAACTGTTATACTCTATAAAGAAGAATAGAAATAAAATACAGACTAGGTATATCATTATGTTTATGCGAAGTAACAGGTTTAAGCCGATTAAAATTCTTCACGATAAATAAATCATCATTATCGTTTTGGTGAAGATATATTCACACTGAGTAGTAGGATGATAATATTGTCGAGTAAGTCGCGTCTACTTATTGCCTTAAGACTGATTCGTGTATACATGCATATATACGTATATGCATTTATTCACTTCATCCATTTGAAATTGAGAGAAGCAAACAGAAAAGAGACTAAAAAGAGCTTAGAACCTCAATTAGTTATATTGTATGTAAATATATTGAACGAATCACCCTCGAGGATCTATTTCGATTAACACTCGTCGCTGAACATCTAAGATGTTTATGTTAACAAAAATTAACCAATATTATTCTACTTCTTGAAAATAAGACGAAAAATAAGAAGACTCTAGTCGTATTATTTTTCTCTCTGTATGCATATCGTGCCAAAAGAAAAAGACCTCTCCGAATATATATTATATTAGGTTATTATTTATATTTGCTTTTTTTCTTTTCATACATGTTCTTTCATGCCTAGACGATAATTGACGATTATAGAAACTAAAATCTATTTGACGACAAAAAAAGTGCTCCAAATGAAGGGTATACTTAATCTTTATCTGTAATGATTAGATTTCAAATAAAGAGAAAAAAATTAAATTCTACCTACTTCTGAATATGATTCCTTCCTTGTATACCCTACAATGCAACTTAACTAGTACAAACATTATTCACTGTCTAGGCTATATTTACTTGGACATTATAATCACTGAATATATATATATATATATACATATGCTATGTTCAACGATGCGTATCTAACTGATGAACTCATTATACTTAATCGTAGGTTTGGTTTGGAAAAGAAGAAAAAAAAACAACATACATTGAGTTTCTTACTTGTTGTGTTATGACTATAACTTGTATATATTTCGGAGAGTATTGACTCAGACTAGATCTCTCGAGATTGCATTTCATTGACAAAACAATTAAACAATATAGACAATGTTGTCGATGTCATCTAATCTCTCAAGTGAACATATAATCTGTATAGACATGAAGCAGCGAAAGGAACAAGACAGCGTATTCTTCTATGTAGGTGCATATATCTTCTTCTTCGTTTTTTGTACGAACTGAATCGAATAACGCAAAAGGTCAATTCATTTCGTACAAGACATAGAAGTTTGAATGTTTGACGAACAAATTAAACATGAAAACAGACACATTGATGATCGGACGAGGCAAAAAATAGGCGATAGGTATGAGACGTCAATCGGAATAAAGTTCTGGCCTTGAAATGTGAAAAAAAAAAGAAATTTATTGTTTGATTTAAAAAATCCTTAGAAATTCCATAGTCATCAAGAATATTTGTTCAAAAACAATAAGCTACAATTAACTATAGGTCCATTTATTTCTTATCTTGAAAGGAAAAATGTCACTTAATATTCAAACTACTAATGTGGATTAATTTGTTCCTTTTGAGTAGTTCAAAATAAAAAGAAAATCAGTCATTTTTCGGTAATCTACACTGACAAGTAATTCTCTAAAAACTTATTTCGTCATTATTCAACACTCGCAAAAAGAAAAATTTACTTATTTGTCTAGAGTTCTTTCTTCCCTTCAGCTAGTAGTTCGTTTCTTTACATCATCTTACCTTATGTGATTCTTGAAGTGAACAAATGAAAAAACAGAAAAAATACCAGTGGCTCCTTTTTTATGATTTTTTGTGTTTCTGTTTTTCTTGTCATATGTTGATCATTGTAAATGCTATTATTCAAAAGTTACCACGTCTTTTGAAGCATTATTTTCTTACAATATACATATCACTTCTATTGTCAATAGATTTAGAAGAATAAATTATGCAACAATCTACAATAAAGAAACACATGAATACAATCAGGATTAAATTTGTCTGTGTCGATTATGTCAATCGAAAACATCACAATAATGACTATTGTTCAAAAAAAGATTTGAAAAAAGCCATCAGCGATTTCTGATATTCGTTTTTTCTTTCTCTCTCTCTCTCTCTCTCGTTCTCTCCTACTAAATAAATATACACTTACCGTAAGGAGTGTCAAAAAGAAAATAATAATAAAAAAAAGAAAGGAACAGAAAGAACGAGATGTAATGGTGTACTGTGATTCTTTTTTCCGCATCGTTCTGTTATGAGTTATATACAAAGTCATATACTTCTTGTTCCTATGTTCCAAATATATAGTTGAGAACACATGAACGAAAGAAATATGAATTCCATTTTCAATCTTAATGTATATGTATACATTGAAGGTCAAAAGTTCGCTCATTCAATATACGAGCAAAAATAGTCATGTCATATATATGTATGGTCTGTAGCTGATGTGTAATTTGTCAAGAGAGAGAGAGAGAGAGAGTGAAGGACATTGTATTCTTCTTTCACTCTCATATAATTGCTGTGTATTATACAGGTGACCGATTGAATTTCATTTTATATAATGCACCTGTTGGTTTTAACTTGCATGCCAAACCGCGATAATCATAGAGAGAGAGAGAGAGAGAGAGAGGAGAGACGCATGAAATTCATTCATTGGAAAATCGGAATCTTTTATTTGTGTCGTATTGTTTCGTGATTGAAGAGTTTGATATAGAAATGAATGATCTGTTTGAATAAATCAAATACTCGAGCGGATCAGAGATTGTTAAGCCAACATATCTGTTTGATATTTTTTCAACAAGACTATTTTGATTGTATGAAATAAGAGAGAGAGAGAGAGAGAGAAAGAAAAAAAGAAAACAAATGATATTTGATTGTAGTAGCAAGAATTTTATTTACACAAAAAAATCAAACAAGTGTTATTCATTGTGTTGGTTGTATAGTATGAAAATAAATGTTCAACGAAAAGAAAAGAAATATGCTTTTAAGAATACTTCTGCTAATTGTATCAATGGAATTCAAGGCTGGAATAAAATAACATGACTCTCTCTAATTTTTACAAGCGAAACAGGAAAACCAATGACGCATGAGATACTGAAATTGACGCGAAAATAAATATACTGCAATTTCCTTAGTCAAAAGGAATATTTTACTAACGCGTAGGCGATAGATATGATTTTCTCTTTTTAAAAATTACAATCTTACGAAAACTACATATTTCAATCATTAAATTTCGAAAAATAGCAATTTTTTATGTTTATTTCATTGCTCCATATGTCATATTTTAATTCTTTAAGCATATGCTCATATGTATTTTAATAGGCTGTTAAACTTTAGACAAGATCACAACAAAAATTAAGAGAAATCAACGGTTGAGATTCTCCATGGGTTTCTTCTTCGAAATTTTATTATAAGTTTTAATTCTAAGTTTCATTTGCTGCATTGTTCATAGAGGATGCTGTTGGGTTTTCTGTTTGTTCAGTATCAGTCATAACAATATGAGACGAAATTGACGGTATTGCATTAAGTAAAATATTTCGATTACAAAGCGGACAACTTTGATGGGATAATAACCATGGATCGATACACGTGACATGAAAATAATGTGCACAAACTTTTTGTTTAAAAAGAAAAAAACAAGGTTGGCATAGATTTTAATTCTATTTTGGTACATACCTATTTTTCGAAGTTTTTCTTTGCTTTTAAAAGATTCTAAACAAATAGCACACGTTGGATCTTTATCAGTAAAATCGTTGTCTTCACTATTTGCATCGTAGGTAATAATTGGCGATTTATCGAGCATTTGTTGCGTTGATTTTTCCAGTGCTATACGGTGTTTTTTTTCCATTCGATTCTGTGAAAATTGGCGATAATAAGTAGTAGCACACCATACGCCAGAAAAGATAAATACAAGAACTACGAATGAACAAAGAAAAATAACTCCAACAAGACTTGTTGCAGATAATTTTGTATCGAACGAATCTTTTGGTTTATTATTATATTGTAAAGCGTAGCTATCCGGCATGAAACATGTTAAATTCAATGCACCGTTATTAGTTGCTGTTATAGACGATAAATTAAGAAGAAGTCTTGTTAATGATGAACTGTCACTTCTCATTTTAAATATAAGATGAGTTTCAATGGTATAATGTTGAAAGAATATATATGCACCTTTAAATAGACGCATATAGATGCATATAAAAATTTTAAAAAAATAAAGACGATATGATCATACTTAGAAAATTCTTAGGACAAGGCCCTGAAGAACCAGAAAATTCTGTACAAGTGATTCTTTCAACATTGTACAAAGCACTCTTCATTTGGTCTAGTTGCAAAATGAAAGCGTCATTTGCATTTGAGTTTTGAATCAGATTGGTAGTAATAGGTATTTTGATAAAGTTGAAAGGTTTTCCACGTGTATAAGTAAAAACAAGATCTACTTTTCCATATGAATTTGATATTTTTTGAGATTCAACCAATTGATGTTTAATAAAAATCATTAATAGAAATAGTCGTTGTTGCATAATATGAATAGATGTGTTTTGATTTTTACGAGTTTAATAAGAAAATGACTTCAGTCGAATTGGGAATAGAAAAAACGACAGACAGAAAGTTAAGTCAATATTTTACTTATTCCTTTTTTTCCTGACTGCGCATTCTACTTTTTAAATATTTAACATCTTCAGAATTAGATCAGCATGCTCTTTTTAACTTAGATTTATTCATAATGTTATTGCTTACGCAATATTTAACTTAAGATATGAAAATTCATTGTTGTTATTCCATGACAAATACTAAAACATGCCATAGAATTAACAAATGGAAAGCTATTTTTACAACAACAAAAAAACGCGTACCGGGAGACTTAAAGCAATATTTTTCTTTAGCGTAATCACTGAAGAGAAAAAGAATAAATCTATCATTGTACTTTCTTATTGAAAGGATAACGATGTTGGACACTTTCTTTCTTCATAAAATTATTCAATAGAAATATCCAATTTTTACCTAAATGTGCACTGTCTGCTGTGTGAGATACCGAGTTTTATTTGTGAAGCACATAAAATATCTTACCAACTCTATTATAGCCAAAATTTCGAACAATTTACTAATCTGAGGATTTATTTTTCAATATAGATAGATGTTCTTCTCTGTTACTTTTTAATTACTCCATTTACCGGATGCTACGACAGTTTTCACATTTCTACTAGATTTCTAAACAACAACAACAACAACAACAGCAGCAGGTGTTTCTCCGCTTCTTAAAAATCCGTGCCATGATATTCAAGTTTGTTTTAGATATTTTCGCCATTTTATCATGACAAAAAAATGAAGTATAATATTAAAATTTCCGACACAGTCAACTGCTTGTTTTAATTCAAACAGTAAATCCAACAGATTACATGGAAAAGCATTTCATGGCTTTTTCATAATGTCTGATTAAGAATATTATCAATTTCAATTGAAGGCAAAACGAATTGATAATGAAACAAATTAATTGAAAAGTACCAGGCGATGTTTTTACGCAGGTTCGACAAATGCGATAGGTAAATATTTGAAATGTATGATGTTACATCATTAAAACATATTTATCGAACAATATGAGAATGTCAATTTTGTTTTTTCTGTTGCTGAAAAAAGTAACAAATTAAAAAACACACGTCAACATAGGAAGTCATGTCAAGCATCAGAGGGAGATTTTTTCTTAACTTTCAAGTACAATATGATCAATGTTTCGGCCTTCAACGTCTGTTAATATGTATGGTTCCTTGCTAATCAAAACTATAGTTCCGATCTTCTTGTCGTTATTCATCCTCGTTAGAGAGTTTCAAAATATTAATAAATATTGTTGTTACAGGTTTCTTGCATTTTGTTAATAGTATTGAAACAGCCATCCAGGCTAATGTTTTACTAATGTCAATACATAACATAGGTGACGTAGAAGCAGTGAGGTAACGCCATGAGCTTAATGGTCTGGTTTAAGTAATTTTATCATTCTGATGTAGATCGCGTAATGCTCATTCATCTTTCATTTCAATAAGAAAAAAAGTGACATTGTGAGACTAGAAAAGTATAGTTTGCTTTGTAGAATTCATACATAACATAACCATTTAAATCGACCAATCTGCTTCCTGCAATTTTAATTTAGTTGTTTCTACTTTAGTTATCTCAGTTGCAGAAAGAAAAACACGTGATATTTCAGTTTTGTTAAATCTACATAATCATCGATAAGTGCATATTACTTGTGTTTCAGATTAGCTGTGAATGATTGTCACTCGGTGTTTTTTCTCGCCTACTCAATGAATGTATCTCGACTGACGGAAATTCATCGCCACTAAAATCTAAACTGACCGTATCGGCAGTTGTTTCAGTCTTATTTACAGATTTTGAAACATTGTTCAGCGAAGCGTCTACACTCATATTGATTGAATGACACATCACTCCATTCTCTGTACCAATTTCTAGTTTCGTTAGAGTTCATGATTCAGCAAATAATATAAATAAAATTTGATATACAAATGAATCGAAAAACAGCCTGTATTTCATTGAAATTACATACAAACGAAAAGGAACCACTAAGAAAGTTGATGATTGTATAGAATTCGATTATTTAATTCGAATAGCTCGATTTTAGAATAGATTATCTTACATCCATTTGGCTGATGTAAGAATTTTAATCGATTCGCTACGTGGTATAGACCATTTTCTTATTATTATGCTGTTTAAATATTTATAACTATAACAGTTATATGTACATTTGTGTCTGATTTTAGTTTATCAAAATAAACTCGAAAAAAACACTGATCTATATCAATGTGCTGCATGCAACCAATGTACCATTTGCAATTCAATGCGAATAAATTATGAATACAATAGAAAAAAAAATGCCACCATTTTTAAAGCAAAACATTCGATAAATCTGAATCTGCATTTTGATTGGTCAGCTTCGAATTATTTGTTCAAAACAAAATACGAAAACGCATATTGTGTCATTGATACCTGTGATGTGCGTTGTTTTGTGTACTTGCGTTTGTTTCATAATCAGCAAATGTGATATTGATTGAGTATCCGTTTGATATGATTTCTATGCATAACTATTTCTTTTTTAATTCAGCAATTATGTGCTTCGTCGTCGATGTTACATAATCGAATTGTTGATGTAACTTTTTCGATTGTATTGATATCTATTTTTAAATGATGTTGATATGTAATTACTTGCATACGATAAATGACTAATAGTCCTCGGACAAATAAGAGCAATCTCAAGAGTTATGACCAATATGATTGATACAATCGACAACTAATGTACGAACTGCGATGTTTCATTAATATTCTTTGTACTTTGGTATATAGGAAGAGAGCAACGAGAAGAACAAAATAAGTAAATAAACAAAGATCTGTTCGTAATAAAGAATCGTCAAAAGATGAAATGATATGTTGTTGCTTTCTGTATATTTATATTCATCGATTGTTTATATTTCGAGTGGCCCACTCGAAAATATTGAAGTTTTACACGAGATTTATTTTAGAGGGTAAGATAACAAAGTTTTCAAGGAAAAACATCTCATTACATACATAGTTGACATTAGAAAAGTATTCTTCGATAAGGATAACAAGTTTATAATCCAATTATTAAACTTCGACTGAATTACAACGGTGTGACTTTTTGACACATGATTGTCGCTGATCGTTTTTTACATACAATACTTCTTTTGATAGGACACGATCAAAATTTATCCCTTTTGAAGTATCTTTCTATTGCTATTTTGTTATATATTCTTATCATAAAAAGCATTTGATATTTAATGTTTCTCTTTTTTCAAGTATTTATTACGCATCTATTATGCAATTACATTTGTTTCTAATCAATTGGTTTAAATCATTACTTCGTTGTCTGCGTAATGGCGTCGGCCGGAACATTTGTGCTATCAATATACTCTCCTAGAATATCTTGTCTCATCAACTATTGTATTTAGAAAAAAAATAAGCGTTCGTTTTCTTGCTATCCAAGTGTCAATTCTTTATTCATGAACTCCCATCATCTGACACTAGTGAACATATTGAAGCGTGTGTGCATGCAACTGTGAACTACTCTGTTCATTCACATTACTTCACTATTCATTTGTTTATTTCAAGATTTTATCTTTCCTATAGACGGTATCTGGTAAGAACAATCGATTTTTCAGGCGTTACGCGATACTTATCATTCAATGACATGTCCTAACTTATATTTGACGAGCATAAAATGACGATTGAAATCTTTCCTTGGATTCTAATCGAAGGTAGCGGTACTAATTTATTGATGATTATCATAGGATTTTCACGCACTCATTTTATTTACTGTGTTACATTTCTGGCATAGTAGCCCGGTGAAAAATCGTAGACATCAAATTTGACAATCCAATGTGCAGGTTTGATATTGAAAATTAATTTCATTTGTTCTGTATTTAATTAACGAACACAATAAAATATCCAATAGATTATTTTAAAATAATATAAAACTTCATCGTAAACAATTCAAAAGATATATCTCGAAATAAAACGAACAAACGAACAAACAAACAAACAAAAAAATAAGAAGAAGAAGATTCACTCCGAGAATTTTTGGAACAATCGATTGTCGACATTTTGATAAATTGTTTTTTCTTCACTTGATGATGACGAATATTTTCCATTTCCATAGTCTTTTTTCCGATGATTATAATGTAATCCGATTTCATTACGCCATTGTGATTTTGCATTCATTAAGAGTTCTAATGGCGAATAATATTTTGCATAGACATGATTAAAATCTAGTTGTGACATAAACGATGTTTCACGTAATTCATCCAATGAACATAAACGTTGATTAGGATTTTTCTCTAATAATTTTAATAATAATTCTTTAACTTGAATTTTGTTATCGAGTGCCATCGATGGCAAATTAAATGAATGATTCAATACTTTATTTGCCATTGTTACATGATCTTTAGTTGCTGCCACCGGATATTCACCGAATAAACAAGCATACATGAGAATACCTAAACTCCACCAATCAACACGATGATCATACGATCGAACACTAAGAACTTCAGGGGCAATATCTAAAATAAAATTTCAAAAATAAAACTTTTATTTTGATTCATTAGTTGATTTACATTGTAGGGTTCCACATATAGTTGATGTTTTTTGTCCTAATGAAAGCCATTTCGATAAACCGAAATCAATTATTTTTATATTTCCATATTCGTCAAGTAAAATATTTTCCATTTTAACATCCCGATATATAATACCTTTTCTATGCAAATAATCAAGCACCATAGCTACTTGAGCTATATATATTTTAACAATTAACTGTGGAAATCGACGTATTCGCAACCATAGAGATAATAATTCACCATTTTCGACATAATCTGTTATTATATATAGATAGCGACGGGATTGCCAATAGCAATGTGTATGTACAACGAATGGATGAGACAGACAGGACTGGGCGATTGTTACTTCGTCTAAAATTTAAAATATACTTTGTATTTCGAATTATTCGTTCTCTTTTGATGAACATTTTTTTCTGATTAGAGAGAGTCCTATTGATGATAGTATGTGTAGAAAGAAAGTGACAGTGTGAGTCACCTACGACTCGAAATAAACCGCCTGATCCGATGCGACCTTGACTCTGAGTTCTACTGATTTTGTCTATTTTTGACTTTTCTTCGTCATTTCCTATCTGAGATTTTATTTCTCGCAAATGATAACAATCAAGAATATTTATTATGCTAATGCTTCGTCAGTTTTACTTGGTTGATAAACAAAAGAAGAGTATTTACTCTGTTCAATGACATTCTTCGTCTAAACACAAACTTCTATGAGCTCTCAATTCCATTAAGTGTCATAGGTGGTACTATTGAGGTGGAACTGCAGAACTAACGTAAGAATAGTAATCGACTTGATTCATTGATATTAATCAGCGGGCATCTTCCTCGCTAAAAGGTTATATTAATAATTGATGTTCCTCATGAAATCGGAGTACAGACAATTACCTCCTACTTGCTCAGTTTTATCAGTAATCTAGCTTACTATCTTTCATGCTGTGTTTTCGATCATTGATACGACTCGATCCTATTCAATATGGGAATCACTATGTGCATAAGCTTTTTTTTAATGTTCTAATAAAACAATTGAGTTATGAAGCAGTTCGTTGATCGGGAAAAGCTTTTTACTAACGATAGTGCTATTTACAATAAGATTAAGTCATCGGAAAATAGTGCCGTTTTGAAGTCGACAGCATGTTTATCGCTTTTATATTCATCACTCAACAGTTAAACTTTCACAAATAAGTTCGATAGTTTCTAGAACGAAGAATATTATAATTGAGTCAGCTATAAAAAAAAAACGCCTTTTAATTTGTCGACTGTCTTGTTCTCTTCGAAGACTTTATCAGAGACAATATTGCGTATGCTCACACTTCAAACATTGAATCATGTAAATAAAAAATAATATGACAACTTTCTAAAGATATTTCTTCACGCAGACTATTTTTAATCTCCTATCAATTTATTGGCCCTTTCAACTTCTCCTTAGTTGATCTATTATAAAAAAAAAGCAAGCTCAATTTAATGCAAATACAGAATATCTCTAGTTCCTACTTGATAACCTTGGCATAACATGCATTCCATAAAACTATACACTTTTTCATGGAAAAAAATACCGTATTCTCTTGTCTTTCGAATGATTTCATTTTCTATAACCATTACCTTTAACTTGTTGAACAGCATTATCTTTAACAATTTGTGATTTACTCATTATTTTCATCGCATAAATTTGGTTGTCATGTATTGAACATACTTGTATCACATTTCCAAAGGCACCTCTTGCAATAATATCAATCACCTAGTTAACAGAAACAAATTCAGTTCAACATGATATAAATCGTTTTATTGTTACTTCAAAATCGGCTTCTGTTATTTTTCCTTTTATAGAAAATTCTGGTAAAAACAATGCTTCATGTCCATGAACAGGAAAATTCGTACTAGAACGTCTATATGGATTTCTTAATGAAGATGTTTGAAGTTTTCGACGTGATTGATTCCTATAGACTCCTGAATGCGAGCCAACATTTAATTCAGGGTGATAATTTTCATCTTTTATTGTGGATTCTGGAGGACTATTTTCTACTAAACAGATTGGAGACGAGGATAACGATGGATGAAGAAAGTTAAAGCTACGAGAAAATAAGCTAATTGTTCGATCGCCAATCGATTGAAGACTGCCATTGAGATACGATGACACTGTCTAAAGACAAACATAGACACAAATTCTAATTATTATAAAAATATTCTATTTTGACTGTTTCAATTATCATTACGAGCTATACGCAAAATTCTAACACAATAGCTCTGAACTATTGTATGTTGTATCTTAACTTATGGTATTTTTATGACTGCTATACCAATTAGATTGTAAACTTTTAATCCATCAACGCATATTCATATTGATAGATCATTTTAGGGAAGCAAAATTTTTAACTTCCAATAGCTTTAGTTTTTGTGAAGTCTTTTAAGTTACCGTTTGATTTTTGTTGGTAACAAATAGTTGTTAACCTGTTTGAAAATTAATATTCTAAAGTAAACAGTTACAAATGAAATTCTACAATGCAAAAAAAAATATTTGAAGGACACATATAAGTGTCTAGGCGATATGCCGATATAATCTCTGCATAGTCACAGGCACTAGTATTAGATAAAAATTTAATTCCAATATCTATATAAAACGCATATTTTTCAAGTGTTGTGACCAAATTTAGTCATATCATAACAAAATTAATTATTCTCATTTCTATCAAAATGCCAGATCATCTATCTAGTTTATTGCATAGCAGGCACCCGCCTGAATCTCGCATTAAATTAAAATCGAAACTGTAAATTACATCTGTTCATACATTTATTGTTGTTCAACTGAATAATAAACGTTTACTCTTGCACATAAACGACGCGAAAGTTTTCTCTCATGCGTATTGATTGCATTTTTCTATTAAAAGCACTCGTGCATTATGCTCTTTTCATTTCTCTTTGACACTTATGTCACAAACAGTTTGTTCACTTAAGAGAATACTCTGATCAATATAAACTATATAAATCGATCAAGAAGAAAAAAACGTAATGAAATGCAAACAAAATCACTTGAGCATATAAATCATACCTGTAACTTTTTTGTTTTCTTATCGAGATGAACTTGTCGCGTATGTCGACGACGAAATCGAGGTGATGGACCATTCTTTTTGCCTTGATGTAATGATGTGGTATCGAATTTAGCATTAGTATGATCGTTGTCTGTTATATAATTATTTGATTTACGTTGATAAGTAAAACTTTTGTTTCGATGATTTTTCAAATGTGACGAAGAATTTTTATTGCCCATCGAATCGAATCGATCGACAGAGCATCTTTTAGAGAAATAAAGTCTATTCACGCAATAATCGTCATTTAGAAAAATGAAATGTGACACAGATGCATTCAATGTTTATGCTAAAACGATAAGAAAAAACGTGGAAGGACAAATAAAGTCAATGGCATTTTTTCACGTATATACCAATACATTCATACGTGAGAAAGATATTATATTGTAGATATAAAAAAAAATCGGGTTGCCCTTCTTCGGGTCTTTTTTTTGTGTCGCATCTAGGTATTATACATATAGAATATGTATAACTATGTTGGAAGGAAACGAGAAGAAGAAGAAGAAGAAGAAAAAGCAAAAAAAAAGATCGTTAATATGACAAAAAAAATACAAATGTGACGACACTGCATACTTTCTTTGTCATCCATGGGACAAAGGAAAAGAGAGAATCAAAATAAAAATTTTTGTTTGTTGAAATGCTTAATAGACAGAATAGATAAGTAGATTCACTCAGGATGAGAACAATATAGATTGTCCCTAATTGTACTCTTATTTGCGAGTGCACGCACATGCTATAACGCTGTTAGTGAGGCAATTTCTTCATCTATCTCTATCTACACGCACGCGTAAGTATGTGTGCGTTTCTCATCTCGGGCAGCTCAAATCTTACGCTACAAGCTGATTGTTGTCATGTGTTTCGCATGCATTGCCATGAGAAATCTATGCAATATGTTCTCTCATACACTTACTTATCGTTCATTATAAGCATAAACGAGAAAAACTAACAGCATATTGAAAGAATGTTATACGTATATAAATCAATTAGAAATAAAAGAGAGAAGAAGAGAAAAAAAGATAACAAAAATAGATGAACACGAACAGGTCTGGCTTCATCATCTCATCAACAATATGATGCAACTTTCTAGCATTCTGAAGTGAACTCAAACGCAAGATGAATGTTCTTCTCATCTATATACAACTGTCAACTGTCGATCATTATGGAAATGAATCGTTCTACTTCATCATTACTTTAGGACACGAATATTGACAAAAGCATCAATATTACTGAGAAATGTACTCAAATGTTTTCTCATATCGGAATATTGTTACCAAATATATGTGTAAATGTGTGGGCGCTTCCAGTGGCTCTATTCATTGCATTTGTTTAGAATAAAATCAATGATAACAGCTGGAACTATTGCTGTATCTTATAGCAGAAGCTATTCTAAAGTCGTTATTTCGATGCTGATGATTCTTCCAAATGAATGATTAATCAAGAAATTGTATCTAATATACATTAATGGAGAAAATAAAAAATTCATGCAGAATAATTAGTAAAAGCAACGATCTTTATGAATACATACATAAGTGTTCTGTAGAATTAGAGTAAAGAACAGTACGATAATGATGAGAGCATCATTCATTCGTTTTACTGTTTAATAATCAGGCACACAGAGAAAGGCAACAGAACTGAATAAGAAATATGCTTGCGTTCGTAAGACCGATGCGATGCAATGACGATTGATTGTACGTACTGATGAAGTTACCGTTTTGGCCAATATAACCAAAACCGGGAGATGCCGCTATTTCATGGATTGAAACGCTTAATCACTAACTAACATAGATGCTCTTCGATTATTCTCTATGAAACACTTGAAAGTAATCAATCAACAATATACATATTACTATTTTTCTTCCTCTCTTCCTAAGAACTGATGATACCCTTGACTTCTTTATCTGCATAAATATACGCATGAAGACCTATTATCACATCTGTCTTGTTTTCTTCTAGATCTTCGTCTTTATTCGATATGTATTCCAGGATAGATTACTGGTGTTTATTTTATTTCAAGCATTCATTAGTTTTGTTGTTAATTAGGCTCACTTTTTCAAGTCTTCTATTCTATCTATCATTTTAAATTACAAAATATTGCTTATTAATCATGCAGTTTCATGTCAACGTTATGTAGTACATCTGGAAATCATGATAGGAATCATGTAACTCTCTATTGACCCGTTCTATCAATCGTCGCCAAAGAATAACAAAATATTGTTCTTGACAAAATTACAAACATATGATTAAATAAAGTATACAATCACATTTTTTATGTTATACGCTTCAATGAGAGACATTGCTCTAATTGGGTTTATTTCGAAATCAATTGTGAACTTAAGATCATCGTTACAATGAAAAAAACAGAGCATTTTCGACAATAATACATTAGAGAAAGACAAGAACAACTGTTCAATATTAATTGTTATGAAAGCAACAGAAAAAGAAAATTCATCTCTACATGAGTAATGAGTTTTGGATGGAAACATACATCATCAATAAAACAAATTAATTTTAAGGACAATACATTGGAAGAAAACTAGTATTTGACATGTAACAAATAGGACAAATGTATTTAGAATAGTTTCTTTGTTTTAACTTCGCTGACACAAATAAATATGTATGATTGTTTCTAAGACGAAGAAAAAATTCGTCTTGTCAACACCAGAATTTATCCATATTCTATGTCACTTATCTTCGTCAAGACTTGCTGATAAAAACTTTTGAAATGACTTCGTGTTTTTTTCTGTCTCTCACTAGATGTTCTCCTAGTTTTTCTTATTACTTACATCGTACTACATGAGAATTATAACGTAATATTATGTGGATGACGTAAAAGCGTCTCATTGCTCTTGATTATTCGAGTTTATATTTCTCTTCACATAGAATAAGACTTATAGTCTATCAATTCAACAATAGAGATGCCTATAAAAAGAATATTTTATTATACTCTAACAGTGAATACAATATACGTCAAAAGTTTTATCAGAAAGAAAAAAGAAACTTGCCGCTTCGATGAATGAAAATGATTAGACTACAGATAACTATGGCTAACGTAGATGGCACGAAGTAAATCCCTCAACGAATAAATTTCTGATGTGTTAAAGCTATGCGCATCACGCATAGTCTCAAGAGCTATGCATAGTCTAAAAACAAATGATGATGCTTTTCGAAGAGATATTTTTCAAGAAGAATAATCAAATATGAACATTTTAAGTATTTTGATTTGTTTTTATCCTGAAATGAGAACTTTGAATAGAAATATACAAGACACTTTTATTTTAGCATAGCGCATGTCTTTCAACAGGTACAATGGATTATTTGAAGAGAACGAAAAGATCGATTGGAACAGCATATCTTCAACCATATACGAACATTTGTCTAGATCATTTAGATTTTGTAGGATGCATATCGACTCAAATCAACAAGAATTCGACAGTTGAAAGGCTTACCTTGTTAGCCATTTTTCCATAGGAATTATTGCTGTTCGTCAAATTATAACGTTGAATAGAGTAGCAACAAAATATCATTGGGAAATTATTGCTATCTTTCAGTAAGAAGATATGTGGTTATTATTGAATTTTAAATCGATATTTACTCTATTTTCTTTCAATTTTGTCTCGATAATTTTGATATTTATTTTTTATTTAGCTATTTTGATTGAAACTTGATATGTCTTACTAGATCTATTTGAGTAGAATTTTTTCTACTTACATTGAAAACAAGAAATATTATATTTCGAATTTGCATGCTGTTTCACAGAAGATGTCAGTGTGACAGTGTGACAGTTCACGTTGAATTACAAATTTTCTAATATATTCATATTAATGAGCGGGAAAGTTGAATTGAACCTGTTGTTCTTAAAAATACTCATTATCCATTTAGAAACCTGAATGTCTTATCGATAGAACCTTGTTTACTTGTGAGTAACAAGTGCACATCGAAATATTTTTTAACATTTTGATTTGACTAAGAACTTCAATGAACTGGTAAAAACCATTGAAAAGTCATCATGACATTTTTTTTCCTCCCGATAAAAACAATATAAAATATCACAGACAAAATATCATGGCTGTTCTTCTTTGAAAATAAATACCCAATCGAATTGATTCTGAAATTCAAAACCTTTAACATAACCCAAACCTTTTTACGTATGTATGTCAATTTGATTTTACTGAAGAACTAGACAAAATATTATATCAATCGACAAGCTATATATATATTTAAAAGAATGAATATAGACATATAGCACCACAGGTTCGTTTTTCTTCTTGAATGGATTATCTGCTCTTCCTCTCTGTTTCACTCTCCTCAGATAAAAAAAGAAAAGAAAAGAAAAATCATACAAACATTCGGAAAAAGCAGCACTAAATTCCGAGAAGTTCGAATACAAGAAATAAACTAATGAATATGAGTGAAGGCAAAAAGTAAACTCATCACTCATCGTACAAGAAGAACAATAACAAAAAATATTTGATTTCATATCAATTTTCTAACGTTCAAGTTTCTCACTGTAACTTCAATGAGCAATATACATATACACGACGTGTCTTCATCTATACATTATAACGTCATAGATCGACTATCGAACCATAACGCCCTGAGCAAGTTTCGCGTGATTATTAAGCATATGTTTCATACCATTATAACAACGATTACCAGGCGCTATAGAACATGATGATGACGATGTAGCTGTATTTTGCGGAAATATAAGACGAGAATATGGTTTTATAGTTACTGATTGTGATGTATTATTATTATTCATCCTACTGTCTGATAGCGACGATGACGAAGGTGAAGATGATGGAGATGGTGAAGAAGATGATGATGATGATGATGATGAAGAAGACGATGAAGAAGAAGAGTTTCCGCCATTAAGTTTATTTTGAATAGACGTATGTGTTTTGTGCCGGATATGATTAGCATAGAATGGATTTTGTAATAAAACAAGCATACATCTTGGCGGTACAACTATTTCAGGTCGTTTACTTGTTTCACCAAGATGACAACCTGGATGCCAAACAAGTATTTGCGCACTATTAGCCTACAAGAGCGAGGTGAGAAGAAAAAAACGAAAATTAATAAAAAGAAAAAAAAACTAAAACCCTTGAAAATAATGATCATTATATATTGATCATCAATGTCAAGTTTTACCTGAAAAGAATATTAAATCGAAAAGAAAAAAGAAAACTTACATTGGGTGGATAAAGGACACATGTTGGTATGCGAATATTTTGTTTGAGAATTTCTGGCTGAACTGGTATTGGATCGGATACAAGTATTGCACGTGAACCTTGAGGTTTAGTTAGATCTATATTTATTTCAAGATTCATTTGCCAACTAATTGTTTTAAGTACAAGTATTGAACCATTTTGTGCATTCATTGCAACGAGCCATGTATAAAAACTTTGATGTCGTTTAACACTTGTTAAACGTGATAAACGTTCGTTACTTGTTGGAATATCCCATGTTATATGAGGATAAAAATTATCGTTCATAACAACTTTAAGGGTTGTATAATCTATACAGGGTCCCTGAATTTCAATAACTTCAGATTTCGAACCGTAAAACGGATAATTACGTCCATCAGAATCGGATATCATTGGATTTTGACCAGACATTAATTGAGGAAATTCCCAACTTGAATAACCACAATCACCATAGGAATTAAAGAAATCCATGCGAGTACATGATTGAATCCAACCAATTTTCCAATGTTCACCTTCATCTAATGGGGGAAATTTAACGGTTGCTGTCGCTCTATGAATAGAAAGATATTTGAGTTTCATTTTCAAATTTAGAAACAAAAAAAACGAATAATTAACAATACCGAAAATGTGGCGTTCGATACTTTAAAACAGCTGGACTTTTTTCATCGACTATTGTTGGACGGTTTTCAATTTTAGCTTCAAGTTCTTGTATTCGTATTGGTAATATTGGCTTCGTTACATTTGATTGTGATGATTGATGTTGAGTTTTTTCTTGTGAAGTTTGTTCTTGTTGAAGTTTCTCGTTGTTCACAGTTCGCATGACAATAGCGCGTTTCGCTTTATCAATCAACTGGCCCATTACATTCATACCAACAAGAGTTGATGTTGTTGTCGAAACAGCCTGTTGCTCTTGTTGTTTATATTGTTGGACATTGAGAAAGGCCTACAGAAGACGAAGAAAGAAAAAAATGTCAATTAAAATATTTAATATGTCTATGAACATATTGTTTTCTTATCTGATTCACGAATCATAGTTAATTATTTCTAGGACGCGCATATGCATGCACGAATAGATGTACTTTTGCAAAAAAAAAATGGTCTCCTCATCTTGACTTTCTCAATGCATACCTGAATTGAAGAAGGAATTTCACCAGCTCGATAGCTGGTGGTTGAATAGGAATGTGAGTAAAGCTGCATAATGCTTTTCTTTTTTTGTAAATAAAAAGTTGAATGTAAATTTATAACAATAATAATAACAGTATTGAATAACTACTATAAAAATATATACTTGTCGGTGTAGAGAGTGTATAATAAAGAGGTAAACATAGAAATCCGGCCGTTTATTTTGACATCTATGATATTGAAATAATGTTGTCCTTCAAGATCTCATAGTCTCCTGTTGCTTGATCCTAAACGCGCACGTAACATTCGTCTTGCCTAATGCAAGAGAATAGCCTTGATTTTTTTCTCTTTCTTTCTCTCCAATCGTCTTTCCTTTTTTCTCTGTTCTATATGTCTACCGGATTCTAGTGTTTTTTTTTTCTATGCTTACTAAATGCTGGTGACGACGACGATACAGACAATAAGCAGCTAGCCCCTCCGCGTTCGTTCGCGCATCATCATCATCGTCATCAAGAAGAATAAGAAGGAAAAAAGGCAGCGCGTGTACTAACGAAACTAGTAGCTAGTACAACGCAGAAGATGAAGAAGAAGAAGAACACATTATTATCACTTAACAGGCATACAACTAACATAATCATGTATCTATAACTGTCGTCAAAAACAAAGATATGTACAAACAACTAAGAACATATGCTAATTGACAAATGCATATTTTTCGTATAATTAAAATTTATCTTAGGCTTTCCTTTTCTTTCTTTCTTTTATACGTACATTAATAACACAAATAATTTTTAATACATAATAAACAGTCATATAGTAAAGCCAATAAGTAAATTCAACAGTTTCATTTTTATGAACATCATCATCACTAACTACCATAGTAATCATATTTGTAGATGTGTGTGCTTTTTATTTTGAATTTTTTTATTAAATTATTTTTTTAAATCAGTTATCAGTATCGTCGATATTCTTAAAGGAATGCGCTTCGTTGCACATTAAATGTGCAATATATAAAATAGAATATTGAAAAAAAAGTAAAGTTCAACACATAAACGTATTTAAATATGAATGAAACGAGGAAAAGACATGAAGATGAAGAAGAAAAAAAGAAGAAAAGAAAAAAGAAAAAGAACGTGAATGCTAACGCTTTTCTCGCCGATGTCGTTTGTTGATTTGAATCTAAGGGTACACGAATAAGGAATAAAATCAAATCGAAATAAAAAAAACCTAATGAAATATAAATGAGCGTAACAAATACGTTGTTGAAATGCGCTTGTAGGCGTTAGTCATTGAAGTTATAGTAGTGATAATCGAATTGTGTATACGTATGGATATGTACAATATGCAAACATTTTACATCAAGATATGTTTTAAAAGCGAGTGAGTGAGTAAGCACACGAGAGATAGAAGAATAAGAAAGATATACAGATAGATGCGAAACGGATCACGTGTAGGTGAGACGATACGATGTATCTAAACGACCGTACAGTTCCCGCATACTACTGAATAATAGCAAGATGGAGAACGATATAGCGCGCATTTGTTTTTCCCTATAATACTATTTAACAGAAAACGGCATTTTCTCTTCCGGGAAGTCTAGATGCCCATATAAGCCAACAATATGAATACGGCAAAACACAAGAATGTTTTTTTGTGTTTACGTATTCTATTCGAATCATTTTGATTATTGTAATATATTATTACAGTTTTTATACTAAGTATTGAGTTCTTTTTACTATTAATATATTACCTGTTCACTTGATTTTATGTAGTAGGTAGACGATCGAAGAAAGAAATAACGTTTATCAATGTTATTTGATGAAAAACATCGTATTAACTTCTGTTTTTCGATTGACAAAGCGACATTGACATTGAATCTATTTGAACAACATAGGATACTTGATATATTTAATGCTTTTCGTTATTCAACAAAATTTTAAAATGTTAAACTTTATGCGCTTTTCTATTTTATTTTCTTACTTCTTCTTCTTCTTCTTCTTCTTCTTCTTTATATTGTATTATCTAAACCTAGAGCAAAGTGAAATTTTACCTATCTTTTATTCTTGAATTCGACCACCTGGTATGTCAAACGTGATGATGACAAAAGAGCACATCTATATTACTGTCTTTCTTCGTCACATGTTAAAGAGAAAGAGTGCGAAGGAAAAGGTTTCATTTTCTTCGAGCTGCATAGGGTTTGCATATGTGTGCGTACGCTCACGCATGCTCTTTCGTACACGAGAGACATCGACGAAATCGCAAACAGAGTCTATTTTTCACTCGTCCCCCCCCCTCTGTATCTCTCCTCCCATCTAATGCCTGGCTAAATACAAAGTGATCTGTGCCTTTTTCTCCCTCCCTATCTCCTAACGACGACAGCGTACACAAATAACAACAACAGATGATTTGCGGGAAGAATAATAGCCTAGTAAATTAGTTGTATACATTTATATATATATATATATATATGATGCAATAGTTGTAAAATAAGCAAAGTTTATTTTATTTTATTTTCTATTTTTAACCGCAAGGCAAAATGATGTCTAGCAGTTGTTGTGAAACACATAATGAAGATAGATGTTAAACAATAACAAAGGAATCTTTTTTTTTCTTCTAAATTATAGGTCCTTATTCACGCTGTTTTATTTAGAATTTTTCATTATCAATTATAATTACTAGACTATAGTTATCTATTGATTAAATTTCATGCTATATATTTGTCAATATGTATGTTAGCCATATGCAGTAGATAAATACTCTATTGTACACACAAATAAAATATGATCGTCATTATTTGGGTCAATTATTTTATGAGTACTACTAAATATTGAAATGATTCGATGAATCAACAAGCCCTCTCTAAAGAAATATATATTTATATGAAAAATATCGTATGTGAAAACAAAACGATTGATAGCTATGGAACAGACTAAGTAAATAATTATAATTTATTTTGTGTCAAAGAGTCAACTTATTAATAATCGTTTAATAAAAATCCGATTAATTATTTACATGGATTCAGAAGCATTTCTATGGTAGATTTTTGAATTAAATTTTAATATAAAATATACGCTTGTTTCTCTCGAAAGGTTTCATTCAAATTTAAGCAGGACAAAAAAAGACAAGTTTGATTGAATAATTGTATTTGAGAAATGTCAAATTAGTTCTTGTTCTTTAGGATTACAAACAAATTGTATGTCTGAATAATTAATACAAATTGTCATTTTATATTCTACAGGGTTCGATTGTTTGACTTTTCAAAGTCTCATACTATCTTTTTCATAATCAATATCGAATTGGTTATCTAATTTTATAGTAATTAATCTTCCTTCGAGTGTAGAATAATTAGAGTTTGTATGGTAAATATTTATTTACTAGTCCTTTTTCTACAATATTCATTTGGAAAACTTTCTCTAGGAAAACAAAATCATAATTTCTCGTCGTGTTGCTATGGTTTACGAAATAGTTTCTTTCATTAAATTTTTATTTGGCAATAGGATGATTTTTATTATTAGCCTAGTTTTTATTTTTCTTCATACCTTTACTAATATTCATTCGAAATTGATTACTTATACATTATATCAAACAAATGACATTTGCCAACATAATTGGAAAGGATCAATTTGTTTACCTATCTTTCCTTTGAATAAAACAAATCAACCATTATCAATAGAACTCGATATTAATAACGTAGATCAATGCCCATTGAAAATACTTGTTTATATCCGTAGTCGTCAATGTATTTATTGTCCTAGAAATCTTCATCATAAAAATTGTAATCATCAACGAATACGACGAATGATATCAACAAAAAAAGAATATATTCAACGAAATCAAACAGCTCTTATTGGCATTAGCCTTCTCAGTATTCTTATTATCGGAAGTCTATTCACTCTACTGTTTATCAAACGCTCACAAGCACATACGAATCTCCTTGAATTATTCAATCAACAAGATAATTCTAATTCTAATATACAATCTGTAAATCATATAAAATTACATGCAAATATTAAATCAGCTCAAATGAATCCGCCACAACCAATTCGATTGCATATTCCAAATAAAGTTAAAACGACGAAATAATAGCTTGAACAAAAACGTACCGGCTTTCTTTTTTACTCTCTTTTATACATATATATATTTACATATACATATTTGTTTCGGATGAATGATGAAATAAAACCAACAAATTAGATCTTTTTCTTCAGTATATCACAGAACAAACTGAATGTGCAATGTGAAGACATAAAACGAACATACGAGAAAGAAATCATTGACCAACACACAAATAATTATTATCCATCTCTCTTCTCTGTCACTCAAGCATTTAAATACAAGTGAAAAAAAAGCTACTGAAAACAAAAGTGTTGTTCTCTTTTGCACACGACAACAGAAAAGAAAAATTAGTTGCATAAAAGAGAGCACTCAGAAACGAGAGAGAAAAAAAAGAAAACAAACGAACGAAAAAAGGAAAGCATTGTTGTAACACAAAAACAAAATAGAAAAGAAAAAAACATTCAAATTAACGACGATGTTCACGAGATTTGGAGCGATGTCGCGATGAAGATTTATAACGATAGTCATCTTCGTGTCGCTGATGACGTTGATTTCGATGCGACTTGATATTTATATCATTAGTTGGATAAGGGCCCGTTGTTGTTGTATGACGTAGAAATGCATTGATTTCTTGTTCATACTAACGAAAAGAATTTTTTATTTAGAAACATAATAGAAAAAAGTTCTTTTCTTTATTATTCTTTACTTCATTAACGTTTCGAGAACGAGATGATGGCATTGAAGAGGTGGGCTGAGGATAATACATATCCATAGGAACTTCATAACCTGCACCATACATTGGTATTGGCATACCACGATGGTCATATCCCATTGGATAGAAAGTAGTTGGATCATAAGCCATAGGGTAGGTCTAAATGAATACAAAGTAGACATAGTTGATGATAGGACAAGTCAAATTGATTTGTGTCGTTCGTTTGAGTCTACACGAGTGCATTGATAACGACTTGAAACATTTTTTGTCGATTTTTAGCTTTAAATACTTATGAAAGGATAACTAAAACGCAGAATTCCAATGGATCATTTTACTTATAGATACATCTAATAATGTGTAGAATATGCTGAGATATTACCAAGGAGGAAACGACAAACTTTTGAACTTGAAGTTACTTTGAGCTATTTGAAGTAGCTTACTTTGACGTACTTTTCAACTTCAAAATTTTCTGAAGTTACTTGTTCCGACTCTGGGCTACTTGAGTGGTACTTTAAGCAGCTTCAAGTAGTCTACTTTGAAGTATTGTGGAGTACTTTTCTACTTCAAGTCCGTCGTTTCCCCCTTGAATATTACACTAAAAAAACGAGTCTTAGTGAGGGCAAGTGTAAAAAGACATGAATATAGATTTACTAAAATGCCAAAATCATGTTTATTTAGACCACCCAATTCACATAGATAATAAAGTGCGAATGTGAATGCAACTGAACATCAACCTGAATGTTTCCTTCGTAAGCCAAATTAAAATCGATTTCTTATACGAGTACTATTCATCAATAGATTTGACAGATTCTTTGCTCGTACTGTAACATAATACAGTATTTCTATTCAAAATGTATTAGCTATACTTCTAGAAGTAGAGATAGTTGCTGTAAAAATGAAAGCGGGCTGCAAAAACATATCTTTTTCCTGATAATCATATCAATCGCAAAAACAACTTACTCCATGTGGAAATATAGGCGCACCATAGCCAGCATACTGTGCATGAGTTGCAACTAAATGATTCATATATTCATCACATGTCTAAATTAGAATAGATTAAATAATCAAAATAGAAAATTTCTATTTGAATTATTACCCCGCTCCCAATAATTTTCGACATTTTTTTATTGTTGTTGTTGTATGGTGGTTGGTCACCGTTATTGCGATGGTTATGTTTTCGATGGGATCCAGCTTTACCCCCATGATCAGAATGCGAAGATCCTATTATGAAAGATTCTCAATAACAACATTCATGTGATAATTAATTGAAAACGAATTATTCTTGTCTACTCCCTTAAACAATCATCAACTTTTTTAGAATAATAAGAACAACTAAATGTTTTGTTTTGCCCTATTATAGTATTATATTAGTTGCTATATAAAATTAAACATACGTGATCGTCGTCGTCGCTTGCGTTGTAAATCATTATTTTCACGTTCGCGATTTCTTGATTGCTGATATCTAAATTAAGATCAATTCAAAAACAAAATAAAAAATAAATCTCTGCTTTATGATTAATAATTTTTTGATTAAATTAATCATAATTGTCTTTTTCTATGCATGCATATAGGAAAACTCGCATCTTTTTGTTTTGTCTAATCCTCAAGGTAAATGAAGAATTAATTTCTTGAATAGAATGGGCTGGGAGCAGGTTACCATAGTGGTTGCCTTGTTATTTTTTCTTATAAAAAATAACAATATATATATATATATATATATATATATTAATATGTATAACAGTCTGTGAAACAGACATAGTTCTTAAAAGTTCTTCGATGAAAAGGTATGCAAAATGCTTTGCTATGATCTTTCTTTTTTCGAGAGTTCATAAAATAAAGCCGACTTCATCTTGAATATACCAAGCGTAATATTTTGTACGTTATATATGTGACCAATGATGTTTGGAAAAAGGAAAGAATACTTCTATCAACCAACACCTCTTTTAAAAGTTCTGTACTGAATAAGATTAGTAGAGGATATGATAGCCAAATTTGAGAGACGGATATTTAAGAAATAAAGAGTCACGTCTGACCTAGGACGATCATGATTTGACGGTGACCGATGACGATAACGATTCGACGAATGGCGAGATGAAAAATCTGTTGATGCTGGTGGCGGCAGTGGTGGTGATGTTGGTCGATGTTTAGTATCTTGTGATGATGAGCGACGATTACGATCTTTTGATGTTTGTCGTTTAATTACTAGGGATGATGATGACAAAGATTCCAAAGGTAATGATGACGATACATTTATCGATGATGGCGAATGTGATTGCGATCGAGATGAACAACGTTTTTTATTATTCTTCGCTTTTGTTGCTATTGCAATAATATCAATCGTTGGATCCGATGGAAATAAACGACATAAAGCTTCAGCACAACGTGGTTCGATCTCCTTCAAATATTAAAAATGTCATATATAAAATAGAATGAAAAGTTAAAAAGAAAATCCTTCAGTTACTAAATCAATTCGTTAAAAGGTAACTTGTGTTCTGAGCTAATTCCAATACTATTGCTCTTCCTACGCTAATCATGAACGAAATATCCGAAAAGATGAAAGTAGTAAGCGAGCTCTTTTCATAGCTTCATTAAACAAATCCTTTCGATTCAAAAGTGATTTATCAATTGAAGGAACGTCTTTGTTAGTGTATCGAATTCTACTACCTGACCATCACGTCCAATTTTAACCGGTTTGTTCTCATTCCACGAATTGAACAAATGTGATGTTTTACCAAATGGCAAACTTCGACTAACAATACAAAGATATGTTAAATGAAATTCTGCAATCCATTGAAAATATTTTCTTTGTTTAAAGAAGAAAAATAGATAATTACATACCAAGTAATCCAATCAATATAAATAACGCCTGAAAAAGCACGATTACTCATGCCTGGTGGTAGAATCCAATGAACTGGCTGACTATCATGACGAGCTTCGCATGACATACGAGCAAAGCCTTGAAATGCTTTGCTTTCTGCGACTGAAAAAATTAAAATTACATTTCGATGATCCTAAATAAAATTAAAATAATCTTTTTTTCCTGATATTATTCTCTCTTTGAAATCTATTTACTCGAAAAGATCGATTTAATTTTTGTTCATTAGCTGGCGGTGTTGACCATACACCCTGAAAAATATTAAAATAATATCACACTATTAAAATGAAAATTTTACTTTTGATTTCGCCAATGAAATATTTTCCTCGTTGCCACTTTTAATTAAAAAATAAACAGCATCACTGAATATATGCCGAAGCGTAGCTGTCCCTGAAGAATCTAAAATAATTACATATAAATTCTATGAATAATTCGGATCCTTGAAACGGGATCAGATTATAATATTTGAGAAGACACACTCGCCAAAGAAACCTTGATATGAGCAAAGAGAATATTCTCAATATCTACTAACCATGAAATTTTGTTCAACTTCAGTGCCTATTATTTGGCTGTAAAGAAAGTGAAAAACACTAAACATATTGGATTTCTGTCGGGCTTAGATAGAACTATCGAATTCTTAACATTCTCATTTTCATAGCGTCATTAAATCAGTTTCCAACTAAAACGATTTAAATCCAAAGAAATTCTCTCGTAAGTTTAAAAACAAATGATTAACTCCTTCAACTGGCCGCTAAGGAAAATTCTTATTTTACCTGTAGTTGGAATGGTTTGCTCACGTATGGGTTGAGCCATTTCATTTTTCACTGTTATCATTAGTGTTGGCACATTTGTTTTGCGCTGTTCATTTCTATTTGATTCATGTTCCGGCTTGTTTTTGCCTCCTGAAACTTCAATTTCGACACAACTCGATTCATTTGGCATGGTTTCGTCATTGAAATCTATTCATAGAAAAAAGAAATTTGACTCATATTTTATCTTGTAATAAAATTGAAAATGTTTCAGGTTAGTATATGAACACTGTGTATTATTCTATCTACGGAAAAACTACCGTTTAACGACTGACGATTGGAACTGCCACTGCTAATGCTGCTGCCACTACTGTTTGAAGAACCGGAGGAGCATGAAGAGGAAGAAATGCTTTCGGTTCTTCGACGTTTACCATTGTAATTAGTTTCGTTTCTTGTGATATCGCTGAAATTAGTTTTCATTGCATTTGGATAATCATTTCCAATTGATTTTTCACTAATTTGACTTTCATTTTGTGAAATAGCTTTGGATTCTTCGATTATTGCTATTTCATCATCATCATCATCATCACCATTGCCAACGCCATCACCATTAGCAAATACCTAATAGAAAAGAAACGATGAATATGTAATATTTAATGTTATATAAGCACCTCTTTTCTGTTCTGCCTTACTTGGTCTTCTTCAATGGATACAGTTCGAGTTTGTTTCGATTCTAAAAGTTATTATCAAAAGCATTGTCATATTCTTGAATATGTTTTTTATTAAAAAGAAATAGATTACATCAGAATTTTGTCTATTCACTTTTTTATCTTTAATTTGAGACTTAATTAAATAATAATGATTTGTGGTTTTTAATTATTTATATTATTCAAATATTTTAGTTGGATTTCTATAGTAACAACTTACGAGGGAAGCCCGCCAACTGTCCAATCGCTTTTGCGTTGAAACTATTTGCATTATGTAACTCACAAGGAGTTATGAATACGCTGAAAATATTTTGGGATCATAGCTTGTTGTTACGAAAATAGTCCATTTGTAAAGTATGGTTTTCAGTGATTGCCTGAACTCCCCCTCAGGAACCTTGAAAAAAATTGACTTTTGAATTTCAACTTGAAAATTTACGTAGAAATATACTTTAACGAGATTAGTGTTGCGTGACCGTTTCAGACCATTCTACTATTTCTATCATTACACATCTGAAGGGGAGTCCAGGTACTCACTAAAAAAGATGCCTTACAAATGGACTATTTTCGTAACAACAAGCTATCCGCCCAGAATATTTTCAGCGCATCCATAACTCCTTGGGAGCTACATAATGCAAATAGTTTCAACGCAAAAGCGATTGAACAGTTGGTGACCCTTCTTCGTTAGAATGTAACTCAATAGCAAAGTTGTTTTTCTTTATAAATCACACTCCAGTCATACAATAATTTTATGACAGTTCAAACACCTGCTATGAACAATTGATTACAATAGAATTAAAGAAGTATATGATGATATCTCATCAGATCATTATAACATTTAGAAAAAAAAAGAAGTTTATCGTCGTGTTCAATTTGAATGACGCTTTTTGGATTGCGGGGACGCGTATGCACTCGCCGTCTCGCTTGCTTGATGCGATCAAGTGTTTGATTACATCATGCACTACACACACTCATATTAACGATCGTCTGGTTACATATGGGCAGTAAAAGAAGCTAAATCATAGATTCTGCTTCGCGCTACTACTGATAAATCAAAGAGACGACAACTAGTCTAAATCTTCTTCTTTTTTTCTATAATAGACACCGGATATTTAAAAAAATGATTGTTTTCTATCAGAAACTATTCAAATATGTGTTAAATTTCTCATGAAAATAAAATCGTATTGAGTATGTATTACTCCAATAAATCTATTCATGAATGAATTAACTATGAACTTTTCATTTCTGTCTAATTTAGGGACGCAAAATACATACTTGAAGATGATGAAAATTCATCAGCATCACTTTCACCACAGGCAAGATCAAGTTCAACTAAAATATGAATATAAATAGAGTCTAGACGTTCAAAGCTCGGCCAACTTACCACCGCCAGACATCTTTTTCATATATATATATATATATATATATGTATGGACGTATATATATATATATATATATTTATTTAATAAATATAGTTCAAAATAACAGCGAAAGAAAAGAACAAAACAACCATATTGACTTCAAGTGTTTCTAACCTCTATAATGATCTGTATAACACATTTATACATCTGAAAAAAAGCATTTTATCAACGTTGATGAAATTTCTTATTTCATTATTTGAATTATTTAAATAAATAGCTTTTTTTGAATAAATTAAACAGTAAATTCATTCGACAAAGTTTGGTTTGGTTGAACAATCATTGATTGGTTTAACTATTCAATTCGGATTTTTACATAAAATACTGATTTTCGATGTTTTTACTTTGCTTTGAATTTTTCTAGATCGTAAGAAAGATCTTGATCTTTATTAATAACAACAAAATCAAAACATGGGCGTAAGATAAATTCATTAGTTTCTTTTTCAAATTAATCGTCTATATTATCATTTAGTACCGTGGTATTCGTAAACATTTGAAACGACTCCATGCACCTAAACATTGGATGCTCGATAAATTGGGTGGGGTTTTCGCACCAAAACCATCATCTGGTCCACATAAAACTCGTGAATGCCTACCATTGATTGTATTTTTACGTAATCGTTTGAAATATGCATTGACATATGTTGAAGCAAGAAAAATTTGTAAACAACGTCTTATTCAAATTGATGGACGTGTACGAACAGATTTTCTTTTTCCAGCCGGTTTTATGGGTTCGTTGAATTACTATTTTATTGTTGTAAACATAATCAACATTGTTGCTGTTTTTCATTCTTTAAATAGATGTGATTACTATTGAAAAAACAGGTGAACACTTCCGTTTGATTTATGATGTTAAAGGTCGATTTTGTGTTCATCGTATAACACCCGAAGAAGCTAAAGTAAATATTCAATATCATGGTGAAACTTTATTTTAGACAGCAGTTTCTTATGTTTTTCTTCCTACATATTCGTTATATATACTCTTGTCATTGAATGATAGAAATTTGACTCCTTTTTTTTGACACACTCAAAATCTATTATACGAATTCATTTAGTTCTTCATTCGTCAAATTTTTAGTAAATAAAAGATGAACAAAAGTTTACAATATTATATCTTTATTTAGTATAAATTATGCAAAGTCAAATCATTACGCATGGGCCCAAAGAAAGTACCATATTTAATAACACATGATGCACGAACAATTCGTTATCCGGATCCACGTATTAAAGCCAACGACACTGTAAAAGTTGATATTGCTACAGGAAAAATTCAAGATCATATTAAATTTGACACAGGTATTTTCATCGAGACATTCGACTGTTGTTTTCATGCATAAAATTAATTTGGTTTTTAAGGTAACATTGTGATGATTACTGGTGGTCACAATTTGGGTCGTGTTGGCATTATTCAATCACGTGAACGTCATCCAGGTTCATTTGATATTGTGCATGTTAAGGATGCTAATGGACATACATTTGCTACTCGGTAAGAACGATTTTATTTTCCATAGTTTTATTCTTATTCATATTTTGTTTTGTTCTAGTTTGGCTTATGTATTTGTCATTGGTAAAGGTCAAAAAAATTGGGTCTCATTACCAACTGGCAAAGGTTTACGTTTAAGTGTTGCAGAAGAACGTGATCGACGGATCGCCGGCAAATTTCATTAGATATAAACAATACTTCTAGCATCATATAAAACATCCAACAAAAAATGATGTTTTTCTTTTGTTGTTTATGTTCTAAGCTGAATGGTTGCCGTTGAAAAATAAATAATAAAAAGAACCGAGTATAAAAATGCTTATTTTTTTTGTCAGTATTTATTGCGAAAACAAAATAACCTCGCACAGTTGTTTGATGCGTTCAGTATTTGATAAACAAAACACAATCAACAGTAGGATGACTTTCATATGGTCTATGCCGATAGGTATTATTATTTATTTTGAATGATGCCATGCTATCTACAAAATTCTTTAACATCAGAAGAGAAAAATTTTGACACAATTGGATTGGTGATTCGAATGATTGGTCAAAATCATCATTGCGATTATCACTAGGTGTCATATTGAAAGTACGGAAGCACAATAAGTATCACAGAAAAAAATGCGCTACCATTCTCATACTTACTTGGCTCCTTGCTGTTTTTTTGTCGAAACCTATAAAAAGATTAATGAGATACCGCTACGAAAAAATTTCAATGTTGCCAAATCTGTTATTACAGTTATAAAGTTGAAAAGAAGTGTCATGAACTCGTATGTCTAGCTTATAAACGTGTAAAGATCAGACGTATATAAGTGAGTAACCAGTGAGCAGAGTTAATAGCGTATCACACATTTGAATCGGCGACTCGGCTAATCACACAGCATACGATGGGGCATGCCAAGATACCCCACCCACTGTTTCAATATGAATTGATTGAAACAGATCTATTCGATCATTTCTTAAAATCGAAAGCTACGAGACTCAGAGAAATTATATGCAATGAACAGATCTATCATAAGTTTTTGTTAGAGTTCATTGATGGAGACAAAAGTTTTGATAGTCTCTTGATGAAAAATGTGCTGTTAATAAAAGCAGAAAAGTATTTAGAAAATTTCTATAATTATCGTTGTCAAATGTGCGAGAGTGGTCTTTATTTTGTCTTCGATTGTGTAGATGATATATCGGTCAAAATTGAAGCGAGTCATCAAATTTTAATGGTGTGCCGTACAAAGACCGAAAGGAAAAATGTCGAAAGAAAAAATATCGAAAATTTGCACTAAGATGTTTTTATTCTTGAAATCATAATAGCATCATAGCATAAATCATAGATAAATAAGAGTTATACAGAAAAATACACAAATCCAATATTTACTAGTTGTTGCTGTTTTATTCATTTTGAAAATATATTTATCTGATACAAGGAACGGTTTTCCTTTTTACGACTGAATAAATGAAATAACTGGAGTTGGCGGATGATTCTCACCAGATAACAATGAGCAAGCTGTAGTCATCGTGATAGAATTTTAATTGTTGTATACTATTTTACGCCTATTTTAGCTAGTTTTCATAAGATATTACTTATCAATAGTATCAATGGTTAACAGTGTCAAACCAATGGAACAATCAGATTAACAACAATGAACAATAAACTATTAGAACCTTCGTTTAGTAGAGACGTCGCTTTTTTCTATCTTTTCTGTTTTCGATATTTTTCTCTTCGACATTTTTCCTTTCGGCCTTTCTACGGCCAACCATTTTAATCATCGATATGCGAAATTTATTTTACCTGGAACTTAAACATCGTTCAATCTATTTTCTTCTTTCATAACAACACACACACACACACGCACACATTTCTAATGAATATTCAGCTGAGTTCTAACATGTCCTCCACTTCATGATGACCGACGAACATATTGCTTTTTCTTCAACTCTAACAAGTTAAAATTATCATTTATGGATATCATATGAACACTTTTGACTTGATTTTTGATACATTCATTCATGTCAATGAGTGTCACCCCCGAAAAAAGAAAAGAATGATTGCTTTGGTACATTTAACATGCGGTGCAAAAGTCTTTGCAATAATGTCAAACGGTGTTAGACCATGTTGGAGACTTCTAATTCAGCTGAGTGTTTTCTTGTTGGAAAGAGCCGTATCTGAACTTCAAATTTTGTACGAAACATATTTTTCTAGGGCGAAACTGGAAATGAGGAAAAGCCAAAAACTAAGCGCATGAAAAACGTTCTTGCACTTCACCATCCAGCAGTATCATTTTCTATTTGTATTGGATTCGTTTAAAGTGAAAAAGAGAATGAATAAATCACGATCAATGAGAATTTGTGTAGCATAAAGGATCCTCTTTTCAATGGTGTATTGAAAGTTAAATTTAGTTTTAGTTTTTGTACTGAAATATTGTTTTTTCGAGACAGACTGACAAATTTGGTCGTTCTCACAATGAGACCATTTTGAAACTGCAGAAGATATTTGTTAAGTTATTTTTGCTGTCAAGTTTCGAAGGCCTGATATATTTCGCATAAATAAAGCGAAAAAATAGAGTTCATACATGGTTCCTGGTAAATATTCTTGAAAATTGATAGTTTTTTTTACAAAAATTTCGTTTTTCAATTTTTTTTTGAACGACTCAAGAATAAATCTAAAAATCTTCCACAAGCTGGCATCGATAGAGTTTTTGAAACTCTACATTGTGATGTATGTTTTGTTAAAATTCTACTCATGCAATCTAAGATATTTCTGAAATATCGATTTTTCCAGCTTGCAGAAACTTTTTTCATGCGTTTAGTTTTTGGCTTTTCCTCACTTCCAGATTCGTCCTAGAAAAATATGTTTGGCACAAAATTTGAAGTTCAGACATTGCTCTTTCCGACAACAAAAAAACTCAACTGAATTAGAAGTCTCCAACACGGTCTAATAGCGTTTGGTATTATTGCAACAACTTTTGCACCGCATATTATATTTCTATGTCATAAATATTTTAAAAAAACTGTACTGTAATGAATCGCAACAATTATCCTATATTAATATTGAATATCATGAATTCTGTCAATTACTACTTGACTAAAACAAGGCGACTTTCATACATCATTCAGTTCTAATTCATGACCATGTTTATTGATTGAATTTTTAGAACTATTTCAATTTCAATGATGACACAACAGTGAATAATAAAACAAGGACACCGTTTGTATATACGTTTACATCTAGGCGATGAACATTCAGAAACATCTTGCTTTATCTCTTACGATGATGACCTATTGAAAAAGTTCTCGGGCTTTTTTTTTCGTCTTCTTTTCTTTTGTAATGTTAGTAAATCGCGCGAGTTCTATGCATATTGTGTGCTCTACTATTACATCTATCCGTATTGAAAATGAATGGGTATATAAGTGATAGTAAGAATGAGTGAAAAAATTCTTCGGTTGACTGAGCAACCCTCTAGAGCATGCGAACTCTCAATTCGATGGTCAGCGTCTCCCCATCCCGGGTGACGACGAACAGATACATTCAAAAGAAATTGACAAAGAAGAAAGGCGATGAACGATTTCTTCGTGCGATAATCGGTGGGATACATCTTGAATAGACAAATGTTTATATAGGTTGTTTCACACATATTGTCTAAAAATGAAACGAGTAGGAGGAGAAGAAGATCTGGTTGTTTTCTTCTTTTTGGTTGATCTATAGAGCGACAAACAAGAACAGAGTCCTTTAGTGTTCACTTATGTGTGACCGTTCAAAATTTCTTATCTGTATTTTTTCTACACTTTTTCTCTCCTTCATTTTTCTTTCTTCTATGTAACAATATTGAAGTCATCATGAAGAGGTATTATTCAAACTTTCGTATCTACCGAGTATTTTTGTGTGTAAATGAGTCAGAATAGCCATAGGTAAAAAATTTAGATATCGATGCGCATATACCATCGTTTAGCCGTGTCTACTAATAGCTATTCGTATCTTGTTTTCGTTTGTATTACGAACTGAATTTTCATGATAAAAATCATCTCCAAATATTTTGAAGGTAAATAACGTAGTCGAATTTCATTTTATTCCAGATAATGTATCATTGTATCATTCCGCCGCGAATATTTCTTGCTTTGGGTGTTGGTTTGCTAATATTTGGTCTTGTTCTTGGGTGGATATCTTTTTCAGTACCCGATTGGCTGCAATACTATGAACGGAACAGTTTAAACAATATAACGAAACGAGACAGTAATAATGAAACAATTTTACCTAACGATGCATCATTAGATTTGAAAAAATTTGGTCTTTTGTTTAAATGTATTTATTCAAAGAAGTCAAATGATTTCGCTTGTGCATCATGGAAGAAAGACGCACCAAGTAATATTTAACTATTTAAAAATCATTTCATTGGTTCTTCTTTTCTTTTTGTGAAAACAAAGGTTTTGTTCGTGTTGCACAAGTACTGATACCTTGCGGTTTATCATTCGAGTGCCTTGGACTTCTATCGGCTTTTATTGGTTTTCTATCTAGAAGAGCTTTTGTTACTACTGTACTTTTGGCAGCATTATTTGCATTTTTAAGTTGTAAGTATAAGAGAAGTGTAGTTTTAATTTGTCAAATATAATAGAATATTGATAAGATTTTCTTTAGATCTGTTGCTCATAGCATGGAGAAACAGTATTGGAATCTGTTGAGTAGAATTGTCTCGATTATGTGTCGGGGAAGGACTCTCATCACTCCGCTATAGTCCGGTTAACCTCGCCATACCCTTATTTCTTTTACTTTTGCTATTTTCTTGATGGTTATGTCTTGGTATCGGAAACTGTAAATAATATCATAGAGTAATTCGTTATTTCAAATTTCAAAATATGAATTCAAATTTATGTTAAATTCTCTATGTTTCGAATTTACTAGACACGTAGTTTTTGAAAAAAAATAAGAAATAGAAATAATTGATGTGTTTCTTTCTATCGAAAGAAGTACTACTTTCTTTGTAGTCAAAGATTAATCAAATAGGAATCGACATTCGTTCTAATTATTACTATTTGCTTTTGATACAATAAGTTATAAGCTATACTAATTATTCAGCAATTAAGAAATCAACAGATGCCAGAAGAAAAATAAGACTTCAACATTAATTACTATTCTAAAATATGAATAGTAAAAATATTTAATTTATTTTCTTCGCTTTTAGTTATATTTACAACAATCGGCGTAACTGTATTTGCAACCGAGTCATTTGTGTATGTCGAACGTTTTCATTTGAATGATAATGAAAATCCTCGTCGTTGGGCCATGTGGCTATTCATTCCAAATCTTATATTATCTTTTCTGGCTTCGCTGTGCTTTATTCTTGCATCAATCTTTAATTGGTGTGATTATCGAACAATGAAAGCAACAGGCATTCTTAGTCATGCAGCTGATAAATATGCTGGAAGCGTTTGCAAAGCACCCTCGGAAAGGTATTTGCAAATATTTCGAAACAAAGAAATATTTTCGTTTTTCTTAGTACGAACATAACATCAGGTACGAAAAAACATCAATATCTTCATCAACAACAAATGAATGGCCAAGATTATCCAAATACTTGTTATCAATTAAATGGCTCAAAGAATAATCAAAATGCATTAAGTTATCCTCCACCATCTAGTTATGGTGCACCCATGAATCAACATTCAAGTAATGGTCCTCCTAACTCAGCATTTCAAACAGCGCAAGCTCTATTTGGCTATTCAAGGCCGGCGAGTCCTATCTATCCACATTCAAATGTAAGTTAAACGAGTCTTTCACTATTCATATAATCGATCATGTTTTAGCTCGATCCTTATCAGAATCAAAATTTCATGACTGAAGTAAGCCTTTTTTAATCTATTTATCAACAGTATATACAGATTATAAACATTTTAGAATTCTGAAATGGATGAAGCATCTCGTGCGAGTAGTTCACGTCGTCATTCTCGTTCTTTCTGTCGTTCAAGTCGTCGTTCACGACCACGCAGTTCACGTGAAAATGAACCAAATGGAAGTAATAATAATAAGAACCAAGATAACAACAATAATAAGCAGCCACAGTTTATTCCGATACCTATTCCCTACTATCATCCTCCCATGCAACAACAACAACAACAGCAACAACAACAGCAACAGCAACAACAACAGCAGCAGCAGCAACAACAACAACAACAACAACAACCACCACCACCAACATCACAACCCATGGCACAAACATTTAATGCACTACCAAATAATAACACTAATATTAACAATCAACCGGTGTCATATATTATTCAACCACCTAAACAACAATTTATGGAAGAATTTATTCAACCAAAAGTAGGGATTTTTTCTTTTTTTTTAAATCTCGAATGAAATTTTCCGATTGATTTAGATCAAACCATCTAATATGTTAACCTATTGTACTGAACAACCATCAGTATTACTTTCAAATCCAAAGCAACCTGTTTATACGATAGCATATCGTACAAATAATGGAGGTAATCTAATAACTTCAAATATTTTAACCGGACCAGCAGCAACAACTTATGTTACAGCAACACGAGATCAGATTACAGAACTTAACTCACCGAATCACAACAATTCTGATGATGAAGATAAAATTTATCGAAATATTTCAAGACCACAAAATTTAAGAAAGGTTCTTTTTCCAACAAATCCAAAATTCTTCTTTTGCATTTATTTATAAATTTTAGATGAAAGCTAATGAAGCATGGACCTGGCGTAAATTGTGATAGAATCTATATCTTAAGCAATAAAAGAAATATATTAGTGACTTAAAAAATAATGTTTTTTTTCTCATGCGGCTAGTCCGAATCAAATACGTTTAATCGAGAGTAATGTTTTTTTTTTATGTTTATTCTTATTCTGATAATTTTCAGTTGTTTTTGTTTTTTTGTTCTTATACTGGGACTCTTTTAATGTTCTTTTCTTTTTGTCTGCTGTGTTTGTCCTGTGTAAGAAATTACCTTCTTCCGTATATTCTGAAAATTTTTCTTATTACTTCGCCTTGTTCTTTTTCTTCTTCTTCTTCTTCTTCTTCTTCTTGTTTGCAGAGTCTTGCAGAATAGATAAATATATATATATACATTCATACATACATGGAAAAAAAAATATTGCACTGATGTCTGTTCTGTATACTGATAAACATACAGTGGTGATCATTAACCGCATTTGCTACGGACAATGATGTAACAGACAAACGAGAGTTCTGTTTTCTGATGCTATGCATTCGTTTCGCTGCTATCATCAGTCAAGAGAGAAGATAAATTGGCATTGCAAGAAAGAGAAAAAGAGAACATATGAAGAAGGTTTGTTTCTATAACTTTTTCGCCCTCATCTCTCTCTCTCTCTCTCTCTCTCGCTAAGTTTATACGTATATACATTTGTGTGCCATATGTACTCATCTTAGTTTCCTTGGTGCATCTCAATTGTAAGGATATATCTTGCTATTTTATTACATCCCTCGAATAACTTTAGATATACCCCTTGATATTTTGGTGTGTATTTTTACAAGAAAACATATAGATACAGTTTTTGTTTTTTCATAAACGAATTTGTTGTTTTTTTTTTTATTTGAAAAATAATTCATGTATACTAATCTTGCTGTTTTCGCTCGTTTATTTATTAATAATCGTCGTTTTTGGATACCATGTATGATGCTGTTTTGTCTATGTGCTCTATCTATTTTTCTACAACAGTCAAATCAAGTAGAAACATCTCTTTCTACACAACGGTCACATGACTTTCCATATTCATATTCGAATTCGTTGACATATGATGAGGTGAAATCTTTACTGGATCAATTATTTGATTCTGAAATTCCGCTTGTTGATCTACAATCAATATGGAATAAAATAATTGAAATTTGGAAACAAATTTTAAAAAAATTTCTTCGTGATGCTTGTGAATTATGCCATGAAAATGATTCCTATTGTTATGAATCTATTGATTTAAATCGTTATGTTTATTATATAAATGAATCGTTTTATCCAATAAATGAAAGTAAACGTCCAGTTGGTATGGGTATTTATTATTATTTTGATTTAAAAACATTACGTTCAGTTAATAATTCCATATTACCGACCGATGTTTCATATTGTGATTATTTTCATATGATGCAATTAATGATTAATGTTCAAACTATTTTACATCAAGCACAAATTAAATATTTTCTTACTAAAGGTACATTAATTGGTGTTCTTCGTCATCATGATGTTATACCATGGGATACTGATATTGATTTATTTATTCCATCGTCTGCAACACAAAAAATACTTAACTCATTTCGTCAAGTTAATTCAACATCAGTCAAAACTCCAATCAAGCCTTCAAATAATACAACAACAACAACAACAACTCCAAAAAGTACAACAATAAGAATGTCTAAAGAGTAATTTTCTTTTTCTTTTTATTAAAATATTCGATATTCTAATTGGTCTCTATCTTTTGGTTTTTCAGTCGAGCATCTTTTCATAATGATTTAGTTGTTTATCGTTTTAAAAATATTCATCGAGTAACATCGTATAAAATTTTCTCTCTTCGTTCGCCACTTGTTAATAAAACTAATTATCGGTGGCCTAAAATTGATATATTTCCATATGAAGAAAACAAAACACATATATATGCATATCCAAAACATCAACATAATCTTGGTACGATGAATTATCTGGCTAAATCTGATCTTGAGCCAATTTATCTGCGTATATTAGGCCCACTACTTGTACCTAGTCCACGTCATCTTCGTTTATCATTAAAAGCAATGATAAAATTAGGTCGTTCAAATTTATTTTACGCTTGCGAAGGAAATACATTTTTACATCGGTATAATCGTGGCCCAACAGAAACTTGGCGTGTACCATGTAAAGAATTGCATAGAACGTATCCATTTGTTCAAAATGAACGTAATCTTACAACCAGTTTATGTTTTGAAGAGCTTAAATTTCCTCAGTTAAATCAAAGTTTAAGTTTATATCAATATCGATGCGCTGAAGATTTACGAAGAACATTATAGTTATATTTTTTTATTTTTTAACTGCTTCTTCTTTTTTTTATATTCATATTGCTCAATTTTATACTCATGAATAGATTTTAGTAAATGAAACAAAATTTCGCCTTTTTATCACTGCGTCAACAAAATACATCTGCTACCAGTAAGATAACAGCCGTTATTAGGATAGAAAATTTTCATGTTACTTATTATTTCTATATGCTTATTTAACGTTCTTCTTTAATTGTTTCGCTCTTTGGTTATTTTCAAACTGTAGTCAGCGAACTGATAATTTCGGCAACAATACTCTATCGGATAGTTATAACATGGGCACCTACGACGAATAGTCGTCGAACGTTCAAACAAAATGTGAACTATGCTCGTTCCATGAAATTAATCTTTTTATTTCTTAAAGGGACACAAATTGGAAGCTTTTTCAACCTTTGCTAAAATTTTTCGGAATTCAGGAAAAAAATCAATATATTGACAAATTGTATCAAAGATGTATGATACAGCATCAATTAAAATTCTGTTTTCGTCAATGTAGTTTCATAGAACAGTATTTTTTTGAGTTTGATCATTTACCATAAAAATACATTTCGAGTAAAAGCTCTATCACTCTTCTAAGGATATCTGAATGATCGACACATTTGTCAATCTCTTTCTCAAAATAACCTTCACACAGTGGAAATTAATTTTACCTGTTTAAGCTATCATTCTTCTAGGTAGTGTACTGCGTGATTGAAGCTAAGATATTTTATAATCGCGATTGCAAAACATCTGTTCAGAAAAACATCTGACAGATCATATGTTGTTATTAGTAGTAAATAAAACAAATACAAAATTGATGTCTTTTTAATTCTTTAGAGAAGCGCTCAATATCTTTTTTATTAAATTTATTACAATTAGTGTTTTAACTCTCCAAAGTATTTTTGCCAGGACAAATAAAAGAAAACAATCCATACCATTTTGATTATTGAGTTCTACTTCATCTGATCATATTCCGAAAATACATCAGACATGTCACGACAGAAATGTGATAAAAAGTATTATTCACTCATTCGTATACTATTTCTAGGCTTTTTTCTAACTGGGCACTGTATTATTCTTCTGGCATGTTTGTTCTTCTCAAGAAGTAGAAAATAGATGTACGAGAGAATAGTGCTCGGGCTCCGATGACTGCCAAGTGGTTTGCAGTTGAAACAAACAGAACAAAAATTATAAACTTGACATTTTCGAGCGCGTTTTATTGTTTGATGGTGATAATCTAGAAAAGAATATTTAATTTTCTGTACCGATACAATGTTTTCTTCAGCTAGAAAAATAGGAATATCAGTGATCACTATTTGTCACATCGAGATTCTTCCAGTAGATCTTCTCGTTAGCTAGAGAAATTTATATTCGATGATTCAAAGGGGTAATCCCTTTTCGTCCCCTTTTTTTTACGGACATCGGTCGTAGAAGTCCGTTCCGAACTTCAGTTTCTTTGAAAATGTCCGATGTTCGGAACGAAAAGTACAGGATGCTCGGAACACAAAGTGACGGATGTTCGGAATAAAAAATGACCGATATTCGGAACGAAAATACTCCGGATATTCGGAACAGAAAAGAATTTTTTTTAATAACATAGTTTTTTTTCTTTTATTTCCTAGTATAGTCTTTCACAAAAAAAGCATAAAACAACAAAAGTTTATACAAGTGAGAGAATAAATAACTTTTGTAAGAAAATTTTTTAATGCGGTGCGAAGCACAGCATTTATGTAGTCCGTCGCGAGATTTTTAATGCGATGCGAAGCATAGCATTTCTGTTATGCGTCGCGAGTTTTTTTTAATGCGGTGCGAAGCACAGCATTTATGTAGTCCGTCGCT